CAGGGCTTTTCTGTCTTTTTTTTTTGAAATGCAGTCTCACTCTGTCGCCTAGGCTGGAGTGCAGTGGCATGATCTCGGCTCACTGCAACCTCCGCCTCCTTTGTTCAGACCATTCTCCTGCCCCAGCCTCCCGAGTAGCTGGGATTAAGGCGAAAGCCACCACGCCTAACTGATTTTTATATTTTTAGTAGAGACAGGGTTTTACCATGTTGGTCAGGCTGGTCTCGAACTCCTGACCCCGTGATCTGCCCACCTTGGCCTCCCAAAGTGCTGGGATTACAGGCGTGAGCCACCACGCCCGGCCTCACTAGGCCTTTTCATCAAGTTTTGAAAGGAAGTAGAGCTGACTTCTCTTCTGTTGCTTTTGCCCACCCAGGACCACTTGTTCCTCTGGGTAATACAGTACCCGAGGCACAGGGGCCATCTGTCACATGAGCATGGGCGTGGCTTGTGTGTGGCCAGGCCCCAGCAATTTTGCAGAGGTTGCCCCTAAGTTCTTCCTCTGCCCCAGGACTGGCATGTGATGCCAGGGGATAGAAGGTGTCCTGCTGGGTCTGCAGATGGGGGCAACATAAGGCCTGACATTGCCGGATGATGTCGGAAGCAGAACCCATAGGCAAAACCCAGCTTTCCAACACTGCCCCCCCAGTTTCTGGCCATCTCACTTCTGTGGATGTGTGCCAGGTATCTGCCTCTGCCCCTGACTCTGAGAGCAGTGACTGAGCAAACTGTCTAGCCCTGGTTGAAAGAATGAGTCTGTCCATTTCTAACAGAGTGGTCTTTCAGAAAGCTGATTCCTGCCAGGCGCTGTGGCTCACACCTGTGATCCCAGCACTTTGGGAGGCCAAGATGGGTGGATCATGAAGTAAGGAGTTTGAGACCAGTCTGACCAACATGGTGAGACCACATCTCTGCTAAAAACACAAAAATTAACCAGGCATGGTGGCAGGCACATTTAATCGCAGCTATTCAGGAGGCTGAAGCAGGAGAATCACTTGAACCTGCGAGGTGGAGGCTGCAGCGAGCTAATACTGTGCCACTGCATGCCAGCTTGGGTAATAGAGCAAGACTCTGTCTCAAAAAAAGAAAGAAAGAAAGCTGATTCCTGAGTCTTGGGAAACAGAGCCAAGAGGTGGAAATGGAGCCTGGGTCCATAAATAAACCCAGCCACTCCTGGATTTTTCTGTTACTTGACCAGAGATATGCCCCATTTTGCTCAAGCTGGTTGGAGTTACTTGAAACCAAAAGAGTCTTAATTAATACACAACTAGAAATGCATCCATGGTCACTGCCCATTCATGTGACAGACATTTACTGAGCACTGTTCCAGTTACCTAATGTTGCATAAGTTACCCCACAACTTAGAGGCCTAATACGGGCATAGGTCACATTCACAGATTCTGTGAGTCAAGAGTTTGAGAAGACACGATAGATTGAACTTTGTTCTGTTTTTCTTTCTTGGAAAGAGAGGACACAGCTTGAGGTCAGCAATGATTTGGGATTGCATAACGCAAATCAGTGCTTCACTGTCACCGTGTTTTTAAGCTTTCTAAAATTAAAACAGCTCATTTTAGGGGGAAATAAAGAACCTGGGAAGAGCTCAGCTAGGCAACAAAGACCTGGAGTCTCTCGAGTGGTGGCAGTTGGATGTCGACTGAGCTGCAGTCATCAGAAGGCTTGACCGGGGCTGGGGGATTTGCTTCTAAGGTAGCTTACTCACATGGCAGCAAGCTGTACAGGCTGGGGGCCACGGGCCTCACCCCTCCCCACCAGACAATCTGAGAACTCTCACACAAGGCAGCTGGCTTCCTGAGAGCCAAAGTGCCTCATGCCTGTTATGACCTAGCCTGAGAAGTCACACACCATCATTCACTTCCGCCACTTCCCACTGGTGGTGCAGAACCAGCTTGATTGAGTGCGGGAAGGGACCATACATGAAGGCAGTGTGGATCCCTGGGGGCCATCTTGAGGCTGGCTGCATACCACAAACAACTCCCACAATGCCAGGGACTGGACACAACGCTCTTGACCCCACTGAACACTCAGCCTGAACAGAAGGCAACCAAGCAAACATTATCCCCCAAACTCATCCCAACTCCTCCCTTAGGGCAGCCCCAGCTTTTAAGTAAAGGGAATCATGCCTAATAATTATTCCTATTAAGAAACTAGATCTCAGAGTTTGGTCATGCAGCTCTTTGGTTACAGAAACAATGCTGATAGAATAATCAAAGGTCCTCCACCATCCTCACCCCTAGCCATGACCCCGTCCACTGCACACACTGCTCCACGTCACTGTGCCTTTCCTAACTTCACTACAACTTATGCCTGCCTCTCCTGTATGACACCCATGTGACACCCATCTCTAATCCTGAGTCATCCCCAGACAAGCTGGCATGTGACTACATCATCTCATTTCATCCATCCAGGGCAGGAAAACATGGCAGTTAAGAACTCTTGGACCTAGGTTCAAACCCCTGCTCTGCCACTTGACAGCTGCAAGATTGTTCATTCTCAGTTTCTTTCTCTGAAAAATAGGGCTGAAAGCATACCTGCTTCATGAACTCATGGAGCGTCCACGTGCATGCGAGAGTGCGGCACAGTGCCTGGCACACAGTAGCTCAAGAAAGGCTGGTCGTGCCCACTGGTGTGCTTCCACAGAGGCAATCATTCATTCATCTTTTTCTTTGTTTCCTGAATCTTTGTTTCTCACAACTAGGCCATGAGAGTTAAGCACAAGGACTGCCTCTTCCTCCAGCCATCTCACCAACCCCTCCACACACACACACACACACACACACACACACACACACACACACACGTTCTCATGCCACCTTCAGCCCTTGCCATCTCCTGTAACCCCAGAAAAGAAGACTGAAGTGAAGCCATCACCGTAGAACAGCACTGCCCTGGCCAGCTGTGGTGATTCATGCCTAGCATCTCAGCACTTTGGGAGGCTGAGGCAGAATCATTTAAGGCCAAGAGTCCAAGACCAGCCTGGTCAACATGGCCGAGACCCTGTGTCTACCAAAAAATAAATAAAATTAATAAGAATGAAACTGCCCTAAACTCCCTGAGGTGTCCTCGTCAAACATTTATGGTTGTTTTTATGGCCACTTTAATAGGCAGAAATGTACACAGAGCAGCGTTCCCCAAGAACCCACCATCTTTGACCGTTTCCTTTTTTTAATTCCTCAGCAAACAAGTCTGTCTCATATGACTTTTGTCTCATTCAAAATCTTATAACAGGCCGGGCATGATCACTCACTCCTGTAATCCCAGCACTTTGGGATGCTGAGGCTGGTAGATTCACATGAGGTCGGGAGTTCAAGACTAACCTGACCAACTGATGAAAGCCTGTCTCTACCAAAAATACAAAAAATTAGTTGGGGGTGATAGCGGGCCAGCTACTCGGGAGGCTGAGGCAGGAGAATCACTTGAACTTGGGAGGCGGAGGTTGCAGTGAGCCAAGTTCAGGCCACTGCACTCCAGCCAGGGCCACAAGAGCAAAACTCCATTTCCAAAAAAAAAAAAATTGATAACATTAATGTTTACTTCTCACAGGAGAATCAGAGGAGTTCTGTCCTGAGATTGCCAGAAAATGATGAAAAGAAAATTACACACAAGCAAACAGGCCCCACTTTCAAATGGACTGAGAATGACCCAATGAAGTTCCACCAAGGCCAAGCGTGACCTCCAGCCAGCAACAGGGAAAGACTGCCACTTAGTGACAGCCTCTGGAACTGGAGGGAGCACACTGAGACACTTAATTGTATCTTTCACAAGCTCTTCACCTTTACACCCTGTCAATAAAAACCACATTAACATTTAAAAGGGATGTTTCTGGGCATCCAATTGGAGTAAGAGTTGGAAAACACTCCAAGAAATGGATTTTGTGTTAGTATCGCATCTGTCCCAGACCTCCAGTACTGTTCACTTTCCTTCCACGGTACCAACACCAAGCTAGCTGACAGGTGGGAACAGGGCAGCTCTGTGGTTGGCCCCCAAGAGCCAAGGAGTCCCCCAGGCTGACCCTCTGCATTGGCAATTGCAAAAAAAACTTTTGCCTTGTCTTCCCTCTCTCCATTCTCTGTCCCTTTGGACTCTGCTCACACATCACATCCAGAAAGCTCCCTAAGATCTCCGGTGGGATGAGAATTCTGCTCTGTGTTCCTGCGGCATCCCATGCTGCCTCCACCTGAAGGCCCTCGGCTCACTGCATTACATCATCTACTTACTGGCTTGCCTTCTACCACAGCAACGGGCCATGCGCTGTGAGGGCATGCATTGTGTGCCCATCTATTCGTTCCTGTGTGCATGCATTCATTCATTCCTTACTGAATGCCCACCATGTGCCAAGCATTGGGGTATGAAGAACAAGGCAGACGAAGCCCCCGGCCTCTCCCCACTTGCTGTAGAGTGCTGTTTACTCTACTCGTCCTCACATACCCATGCCATCCTATGTGGCACTCAATACATGTTGGATGGATGGATGTGCCCCTCCGTCAACATCACTTAATTAACTTAGTAACTTCCTGCGAGGATTACATTCTTGCTGTTACACCGCTGGGACTTCCTCTGGATCTCTCACGTAAGCCTGCAGCCTTCCAGCCTCACCCAGCCTACAAAGGCATTTTGTTTGGCCCAAGTTTGTAGTTTTTTTTAAAACACTGCATTTGTGGCTTTTAAAATTGGGAAAATTTCACGTAAATCTTTTTCTGGCTTCTCTAGAAAAATGAACACACATTTCTTCACAGCAGGGGTGAGCCAGAGCTGAGTACCTAAGCTTCCTTTAGATGTGGTAGGCACACTTCCATTTGCCACAATCCCCACTCTTTCCGAGTTTTCTATCACTGAGGCCAAAAGCTGCTGAGGATCATCTCAGCTGTGCTGGTGATTATCCTGCCCCAGCCAGCTTCACTCAGGACTGTGAGTTGTCCTACATGTGGTTCAGCTGAAGACCCCAGGGTTACACGCATGTCATCCAAGAAATACCTCTGAGATGAGCTACAACACAAATGAATGGGCAGTTTTATTGATTTTTACCTCCTAGCAGTGGACACAGGTTGCTGTGGTTTCCAGCAGGGATCTCAGATGCAAGGGAAGCGAAGAAAACGGGGAAATTCCAAGGGTACCTCACCATGGAACCAAATGCCCTGTCGACTGGAACTCCTCTTGCAAACGAATGGTGAAGATCAAGAATGACATTCTCACACCACCAGCACAGCTTAAATACTTCGACAAAAATAATAATAATAAATTATATTCAACTCAGAAAATAAATTCTTTTCAGCAGAGTGACAGGAGGGTCCATTCACTGCATTGCACGAGGGGCCAAATGGAGGGTGAGGATGCGCACAGGCTGCCACAGTGACAAGGGACAGGGGTGCAAGGCCAGCAGTACAGGCTGAAGTTAGCTGATGCATGCTTTTGGCTTTCATCCCATGGGCGGGTGGTGGCCGGACCCCTGGCTGTGGCCTGTCCGAAGTGAGACTGCTACGGCCCCCCTTCCTCCTCACGTCCGCCTTGTCTTCTGTTTCTTGGCCTGTCTCTTGGCATCTTCTGGGCCGCTATTGTCAGAGGCTACCTGGCCGAGCGCGCGGACTCCCTGTAGCCGACTCGTCAACTGTAGCAGCAAAGGAATGAGCTGGAAAAGAGAAAAAGTGTGAGAGTGGGGTACAAAGAGGAGGCTTCTGCCAGATAAACAGCGGAGCCTCACTTCTCAACATACCTTCTTCAGACATGATCAGCAGCTGCCACATGCTAATGGGTGGGTTTCGGTTCATATGAGGCAGGCCTCTGTACTAGTGGGTCCCTCGGGATAATGGGCTGGCCTCTCCCTGGGACCAACACGTCCCTAGACGTACTCCAGGTTTAAGGATCAGGAAATATTGCAGAGGTTTACAGCCTTGAAAAGAGGCCTAAGACTGGACTTGAGGCCTTCATAGGCCCTCCCAACCCTGAAATGCGATTTCTGTGACCGTGGACATCCTCTGCTATCACTCCTGCAGCTGTGAGGACTCACTCTCCCTGACACCCCGCCGTCTCCTGAAGCCTCTGGATTTCCTACCTTGTCATGGTTGTAACCGGCCAGCAGAACCAGCAGCGTCAGTGGCAGGGCAATGTAGGATCCTTGCGCAATGTCCTGTTCAGGCAGCTTCCTCTGCAAACACCAAGAGCCCCATCACTCCTCACCAAGGCTGCACGCTTGTCCACTACCCACAACGCCACAGCCACCACCCACCCAGTCTTCTGAACTGGCTACCTGAGGACACTCAAGGACCCTCATGATCCAAATTCTTTCTATCCAAAGGAAGGAACCAAAGTGATTTGGATACTTTTCCCCACGAATCCTCTTCTGCCCAAACCCTCACTATTTGCTTCTGCAACTCAGGAACAAAGAGATTCCAATGACATGGTATTCCTCAGCCTCTGGACGCTCCTCCAAACTGAGGAAATGAAGAGATGCAGCTATCAGGGAGTCCTGGTGTTGAAAAGCAATTGGGTCTCAGGTTGTTGAGTCCCAGAAACATGCAGGGACTTAGTCCCAGAGATGTATCAAGAACCTGCTGTTCTAGGCCCAGGGCACACAGTGAGGGCAGCTATTCCCAGCCAGTACAGCCTAGTGAGGAAGGGCTGGGAACACTGTGGACCTAGGTGGTAACTGAGCAACCCCAAGCTTCTGGAAGAACTGGCCAAAGCCCAGCTATCTGAAATAACAAGAAGAAACAGTTGTTGATTTTTAACTTGTAAATTCTCTTAGAATTTGGTTTCCCCCAAATGAGTTATTTGCTTTGAGATGCTTGTTACTTACTGTATTGATTATATCTGAGAAAATGAAGAATAATGTGAAAAGTTAAAATGTAGCTTGTAACTTTGGCTCTGCTGAGCTGTTCTTGTAAAAACACGAACTTGGTCTAAGAGACAAACCACGTGGCCTGACTGCCAGAGAGATGACAGCAGGCAATAAGCTTCTCATTGCAGAAAGGCATATTGATTATGGCCCTGGAAAGGGAATGCGACCCTTATGGAGAGCCTATAAACGGACGCATGAGTGTCTGTTGAGGAAAAACCTCTGTGGTGGAGATTAGGATGTAAAAGTCTTCTCCCACTGCTCCCCCAGGCCTGCATGGGGGTCTTCCCCTTCTTGCAGTTTTTGTAGTCAGGCTGGTTGCCCTGTGTCGGAGCCTGCTCCCCCTGCAGCTGTGAGCCCCGTGCTTTTCTTGCTGATAATTCTAACTTTATGTTTAACCTCTATTATTGCTAAAGTATATGGTTTCTATGCTGACACACAGAAATTTATCTTTACGTTGTTCTGCTTTTATGATACCACGTTGTGACTTCTGTGCACCAGTTCTGCAAATGTATTCTTTTTGTACGATCGTTACAACAACATTGTGTAATCTCACTTCCCCATCCCCTTCGAAAGAGCATAATAAAAAACTGAGGTTTTCAGGGGAATTTTAGATATCCACGGAGCGGCTTTATGTGATGGCTGCCCTGCGTCCAGCTTTGAAGAAAACTATTTGTCTTTTTTTTTTTTTTTTCACCGATCACTCAATCACTTTGAGAGATCTTGAATCCATGTTGATATATTGGGAGCTGGTCTTCCAATAAGGAAGCAAAGCAGACACTGTTACGAGCATCCCTGTGGCCATTCTCCCTTTCTCCAAATATAACCCCCAACTTTTATCTGGGCCACTGAGAATACAGGCCACCTTTCCCAGCCTCCCCTGCAGCCAGGCACAGCCATGGAACTAAATTCTGGCCAATGGTACAGGAAGAAAAGTGGTAGGAGCCACACCCTGGCTGGACCCTAGAGGAGAAGTGGTATACCTTCCCTTTTGCTGGGTGGACAGCATTTGGCCAACTGCCCCATTCTGGACAAAGCAATGCGCTTGAACAGAGCAATGAGACAGAAGGGGTCTGGGTCCCCTGACGCCTTTGAGCAACCAGACTATCTCTGCACTGGTGACTCCTGGACATTTGCCATGAGACAGAAATTTTCGTCTTAATAAAGCCCCTGAAATGCTGGGTTCTAAACCATTGGCTGAACCTATATCCCATTAGCCCACTCTACTCCCATAAAGGAAACGAATAAACGAAATGAGAACTTTCCAATAAGGATAAAAAGTCAGTGAGCCAGAGCAATGTTCTCAGTATAGGGTACCGGGACTCCTCTCTTAGGAGGTTCATGAGGCCACAGGTATTTTCATGACAATAGTAAGATGTGATGTGCCTTTTCCACTCTCATTCTTTCACAGGTGTACAGTGGACTCTTCCAGAGGCTACGTGCCCTGATGTCATCACGCCCACAACTAATGGAATGTATGGCTTGTGGGTTATGTTTTTAACATCTCTGTTTTAATTTCTAATATGATAAATACAGATAGAGATAATCCATACAAACTTAAGCTCTTTAAAATCCTCAAAAATTTTTAATAGTATAAAGGCGTCCTGCAACAAACCCATCTGAGAACTGCTAAGCTAGAGAGCGGCTGTGGGGCCCTTTCGCAAGTGAAAGAATAAGGGCAGGAACGCATTTCCATCTCTAACTGCCTACTTCTGTATTTCTGGACATCTATTAGATTCTAACCGATTTTCCACTGAAGTAAACACTTACTTAAAAGTTTAATTCAAGCCAGGCACAGTGGCTCATGCCTATAATCCCAGCACTTTGAGAGGCCAAGGCGGGCAGATCACCTGAGGTCAGGAGTTTGAGACCAGCCTAGCCAACACAGTGAAACCCCATTTGTACTAAAAATACAAAAATTTGCCAGGCGAGGTGGCATGTGCCTGTAGTCCCAGCTATTCCGAAGGCTGAGAAAGGAGAATCACTTGAACCTGGGAGACAGAGGTTGCAGTGAGCTGAGATCGTGCCACTGCACTCCAGCCTGGGTGATAGAGCAAGACTTCGTCTTGGGAAAAAAATAAATGAATAAATGAACAAATGAATGCATGTTTAACTCAGCAGGAATTAGAGTGAGTATGAGTCTGGGCTCAGGTCCCAGGCCTTACTGGGTAACCTCAGGCAGCCACGATGAGACTCAAGTTTACTCAACTATGACATGGAGATCATTTGAACACCACCCACTGCGGTTGGACGCTGTGAAACTTGATGAAATGAGTGTGTGAAATGCTCATCAGTGCACGGAATACTGAGTAAAATCCAGTCAGGAGGCTATGGGCACTCACATCAACAAAGGAAGAAACTAATGTGCTTACAAAGCCCCGTGAATGTGCAATGCTGAGACACTCATCACATGAAAGGCAGAACGAGGTGGAAACTACGTGGCTTGAGACAAACCACCTCACTCGAGTCCTGGTTCTGCTAACACTCGGTAAGTGACTCAATCTTTCTGGGCTTCTATGAAAATGGGAGGAATAGCACACCTGCCTGAAGCCTTGCTGTGAGGACCAACCTGTGAGGGCCTTGTACGGGGTAGCACAGAGCAGGCACGCTCTTCATTCATCACTTGGCCCTGCTCAGGAATCCAACCCCTGGCAGATGCCATTTCTCACATTCTCAGAAGTGACAGGCAGCAGCTACGAGGCCGGGCTGCCACCAAGCAGTGTCTCTACACTCCCAACGCTGGCTCCCAAGTGTGGCCCTGAGACCAGACGAGTTCCCTGCCTTGGGAATGTCGCTGCCTGCAGCCAACAATGGCCTTCACAGAGGCCTCTCCCATCCACTGGGGCCAACACGCAGCCCCAAGCAAAGGTAAGTGGTTCTTTTACATGCTCATTACTCTGGCACTTTCTTCTTTTTGAGACAGAGTCTCGCTCTGTCACCTAAGCTGGAATGCAGTGGTGCTATCTCAGCTCACTGCAAACTCTGCCTCCCAGGTTTCAATTCTCCTGCCTCAGGCTCCCGAGTAGCTGGGATTACAGGTGCGCACCATCACGTCCAGCTAATTTTTGTATTTTTAGTAGAGATGGGTTTCGCCACATTGCCCAGGCTGGTCTCGAACTCCGGACCTCAAGAGATCCGCCCACCTTGACTTCCTAAAATGCTGGGATTACAGGCGTGAGCCATGGCACCTAGCCCTCTATGGCACTTTCTACTCAGGTCTCCACTGTGAGACACAAGGAGGTGCTTCCTCCTGGGTCATCAGACAAACTCCCTTGTTCAGGTAAGATATTTGCAGGCTCACTGAGCATGAACCACTCTTCACAGAAGCCAGGAATCGGCAGCAGAGCTCTGCTCAAGTCCTAGCTCAGCTCCGTGTGAGCTGGTGACCTTGGGCTGCTCACGTCTCCCTCTGGATCTCAATCTTCCCATCTCTAAATGAGAGGTAATTCCTGTCCACCTTCCATGCAGGATGTCTTTCAAAAAGCATGAAATGGTAACTGGACAGCATGTGGAAAAAGACAATTTGGAACCATACTTCACACCTATACCAGGAAAACCCCCAAATGATAGGGATTTAATTGTAAAGAAAGACACCATAAAAGTCCCCCCAAAAACATGATAAATTCCTATAAAAGCTGAGAAGGAAGAAAACCTTCCTATCACTAAAAAACCCAGAAGCAATAAAAAATCCAATAAATTTAACATAGAATAAAAAAAAGTAAAAATAAATAAATAAATCTCTGCATAAGCCAAGTGAAGAGATAAATGACAAAACTGGAAAAACATGTACAACAGACATTACAAAGGGTTAATATTCCCAATATACAAAGAGCTGAAAGCTGTTGAAGAAAACCAAAAATTCTGTAGGAAAATAGGTTAAACCATTCACAGAAAATACAAACAGCTCTTAACCACATGAAAAGAGAGAAATGCAAATTCCAAGTACACTGAGATAATATCACTTCTCATCTATTAGACTGCAAATATCGAAAACTTTGACAACATATTCTGTTAGAGAAAAAAGGTTCTCATTCACTGCTGGCAGGAATACAAAACAGTGAAGCCCCTGCAGAAGGGAAGTGGCTGTAACAATCAAAATTCCGTACGCATTTACCCTTTGACTCAGCATTTCTCTTCCAAAGAGAGACTGACAAACATTCAAAAACATGCCTTCGTAAGGCAAATCATTAAAAGGTTATTTGTGATAGCAAAAAACCAGTGACAATCCAAATGCCCCTCAACCAGGGGCTAACTGAATATCCTACAGGATCTGAACGTGTCTGTGCCTACAGAATTCATACGTTGAACCCTTATCCATAAGGTGATAGTATTAAGAGGACACCCCTTTTAGGAGGTGATTAAGTCAAGGATAAACCCCCCTTTCAAAGAGGCCTAAGGGAGCTTGTTTGCCCCTTTCCACCTTGTGGGGGCACAACTAGGTGGCACCATCTATGAAGCAGATAGCAATTCCTCACCAGACCCCAAATCTGCCTGCGCCTTGATCTTGGACTTCCCAGCCTCTAGGACTGTAAGAAAGACATGTTTGTTGTTTGTGAGTTACCCAGTCTAAGCTACAAAACAGCAGCCCGAACAGACCAAGACATATGGTATATCCACAAAGAGGAATGCTGTGCAGTTAGTAAAAAAAGGAATAAGGAGGATCTGAATATATTGTTCCCTGTACAGTTTGTTTTTTTAAATAAAGTTCTCATTCTTTCCACTGAAAAGGCCTAGTAGCAATGACCAACCCCCTAAGCTATGAGGCCACATTTTTCTTTTTTTAATGCAGATTCCCATGCTCCACTTTCACCCCCTATCAAGTTCAGAATCAGTAGTGCTGAGGCTGAGCCCTGAACTCCATTTCTGTTGCTGCTGATGTATCTATTTAATCCTCAGTTGATGATACTGCACCTGAGCTTCAGGAATCACAAAACAATTTTATCAAAAAGGTGAAAGATACGTACGTATATGTTTTGTTTGTTCTATTGTTGTTTCCAGTCTATCGGTTACACAATAGACTATATGCAATAGATACACATATTGCACATAGTAAGGGGCACATATTACAATGAATTAAGCAATAAGTTAAGTTTCTTTTAACCCACAGGTATTCTGTCCATCTGTTGTTGGTTGTTTCTTTTTCTTGCAATTTATTTGTCAAACAAATCAGGCTCCAGGTGGTTGTCCTGCATCCCCGTGGAATCATTTGTGTGCTCTTAGGCCCTCTCTATTTTCTGTAAAGCAGCAGTTGGTTCTAGAGGTTTGAGTGGGCCATATACCATGTGCTCCCACATGGAGAAACACATGTCACCAGTCACGGCATAGTGGTGTCCCTCTTCCCCAAAATCGTTCCTGAGCTGCCAACCTAAACAATTACACTGCTCTTACCAGTTTCCTCCTCAAAGGGAATGGCAGGCATCAGTGCTCAGAAAAGCTAAAAAGAATCTGGGGAAGCCCAGAATCCAAAAGGCAGAATGAGAGTGACCCAATGCCAGAACCCCGTTAAATATCTGCCCAGCAACCTGCCATCTGGAGCATAGGCTGTATGGACGTGCCTTCCCTTCCACCCATGTATTGTTTTCTTTTGGTCTGTTTTGTTAGTTTTTCTGGAGAAAGGGTCTTACTCTGTCACACAGGCTGGAATGCAGTGGCATAATCATGGCTCATCGAGGCCTCAACCTCCCAGGCTCAGGTGATCCTCCCACCTTAGCCTCCCAAGTAGGCAGGACTATAGATGGATTCCACCACGCCCAGCTAAATTTTGCATTTTTTGTAGAGATGGGGTTTCACCATACTGCCTAGCCTGGTCTAAAACCCCTGGGCTCAAGAGATCCACCAGCCTCGGTCTCCCAAAATGCTGGGATGAAAAGTGTGGGCCACCAAACCCAGCCCACGGATTTTTTTTTTTTTTAACTCCCCCTGTTACTCACCGTGGGATTGAAAATCAAGGTGATGTGTTTATGGTAGCCCACTGCGGTGAAAGAAACTTGAGGCAAGATGTAGTCATACTGGGATCTGGGGAGTGTGGAGTCCAGAAGCACAACATAGTTCTGTGCACACATGGGAAGAAGTTATTCTTACAGGAACAGCTCTGGCAAAGCAAATGAAAACTCAAATCTAACGTATGGCTGTGATGTAAAGAAATTAACGTTTTTCAAGAACTCCCCAGGTCTACACATCCAAACCAAGGTTGCTGCCTTCAAAGTAGCAACCTCAATGGGCTACTGCATCAGTGGCAGGCATGTGTCCCCATCCCCAGTGTCTCTGAGACTGTGGCTTCTGATAAGGCTGTCAGAACCTGCAGCTCTTTTTATGAGTACTCAACCTTGACAATTACGGTCCTCTGAGGATCTGACTTTATGAAACACAAAAAATAATTATGAGCCAATTCTGATGAGGGAGATATGTGATACAACTGAGGATGCTGTATCCTAAAAATAGAGCATCCCTGGAACAGCACGAGGGGCAGCCACAGCTTTGTGTGCTGGGCCCCAACCACGTGGCAGGCACCATGCCCACTGCACCAGGCCCGTGGCTGCCCTTCTTTCAACCACTGGCAAGGTCGAGATCATTACCCCCATCTTTTTTTTTGAGACGGAGTTTTGCTCTTGTTACCCAGGCTGGAGTGCAGTGGTGCGATCTTGGCTCACCACAACCTCCACCTCCTGGGTTCAGGCAATTCTACTGCCTCAGCCTCCTGAGTAGCTGGGATTACAGGCACGCGCCACCATGCCCAGCTAATTTTTTGTATTTTTAGTAGAGACGGGGTTTCACCATGTTGACCAGGATGGTCTCGATCTCTTGACCTGGTGATCCACCCGCCTCGGTCTCCCAAAGTGCTGGGATTATAGGCGTAAGCCACCGCGCCCGGCCTACCCCCCATCTTATAGTCGAGGAAAGTCAAACATGAAGAGAGTGAGAGTAATGTGCTCAGGATCACTCAGCAAGGAAGGCTGCCACACATCTATGAAGGCTCTGAACTCAGGGGAAGTGTGATCCCAAAGCCAAAGATGTTTCTACATCTCTATGGAAAATAGCAATGTAGCAAATGTGACTTTCCCCCCTGGAGAAAAGTCAGGGAGAATTCCATGACAGCCTGTTTCATTATTTTACAGCCATTTTCCGCAAAGAAAGGCTAGAGCATAGCATCCTCATGGCAGGTGTTAAGAAGCCAGGAGAGGGAATGTCACCACCTAGGCTCACACTTGACATCCTCAGGCTGAGACCACCAGCAAGAGAACCAAATTCTTTGCAAAGTTTGCACTCCCCACATCAACTACAAGTTAGCTCTGTCCAAATAGAACTGATAATAAGTAGTTTATAATCAGTAAATGACATCCAAAATAATGGCTGACAACTTCCCAGTTCCAAGGGGACACCAAAAAGGTAGAACTGCAAGTGGCCCACACGACACACATTATAATTAGATTGTCAAAGACACAGAGAATTTTCAAAGCAGCAAGAGAAAAGTAAATCATCACATTCAAGGCAACCCCCATCACAAGGCTCTCAGTGGATTTCTTAGCAGAAACCCTCCTAGCAGGAGAGCATGGGGTGATATGTTCCGAGTGCAAGAGTCAATGATGCCTAACGCAGGCCTTGGTTAAATAAATTACAGTGTTTCCTGTTTTATGGACCACCATCCATAAAAACCACGGTATGAAAGATTTAATGATGAGGAACAGATCTGCAATATATTCTTCACTGAAAAGCACAGACAACAAAACAATGTACCAAACAGTATCAGTTTTGAATTATTAAAATAAATGTCTATTTATATTTATACATGCATGAGCACATGTGCCTGAAAAAAGACCCAGAGGATACCAATCACCACGTTAGCAGTGGCTATTTCTGGATGATGAGACTTAAGTCTTTTTTTTCTTTTTTCCAAAATCTCCTGCCATGAATATGTATTCTTTTTGTAAATAGAAAAACAATTAAGAAAAAGTAATCCCTGCAGAACCCAACCTCTTTTGATTGAGAGAGCACATTTCTGCAGAGTGGTATTTAGGAAGAAAAGGAGAGAACTGTGTTTCCTTAAACTATACAGAAGAATTATTAAAACAAAGGCAGAACGCAGAATCAGGTCAGAGGCCTTACCTCGCCGTCTCTGAGCAGTGGGGGGAAATGGAAGAAGAGGGACTGGCCAAGGGAGACGGTCTGGATCGGATTGTCGAGGTTTTCGCTTTTGTAAAGCTTCACCTGGAGAGAGAAACAAAACAGGACATGCTTTGACAGTGAAACACCATCAGCATTTTGTACCAGACATCCTCAGGAAAGCTGCTCTCTGGGTGGGTATCTTTGGATATTTGAAAAAGAAAGCTCTCCCCATATGCATCACACATCCCTTGGTCATCCGAGACTCCATCCAGTTACACACCACACACAGAAATTAAGATTCAAATCAGATTCTGACGACCTGTGTTCTTGTTCCAAATAGTAATAAGAATTAATATAATAGTAATATTAAAAAGAATAGCTTCTAACATGTGTTGAATATCTGTAATATGTCAGGCAGGCGGCAGACATTTTATTTATATTATCACCGATCCTGACTATGAAACAGGCATTGCTATTATCCCTATGGAGACCCAGAGAGCCAAAGTCACCTAAGGTCGCACAACTTACACACAGCGTAGCCTGGGACTCAACCCCCTGAGGATCCCAAGGGTCGTTCCTGCCTTGCACTGCCTCATCATACGATGTCACCTTAACTCCACAAATATCTGTTAAAGTCAAAATGCATTCCATCATGTACGTGGCTCTCCACGCTGCTTCAAGAGGCACCGGAGTACTTTGTTTCTGGCTTCATTTCTGGGGTTGTTGCCTGTTCTCACTATTCTCACAACCACATGGGATGGGGCATGAGCAGGACTAAGGTGCAGTCCTGAATGATGGCAAAGGCTTTGAGGATGCCACACTGCACCTGCCACAAGAGAAAAAGAACGCCAGGACCACGTCCCTGGGCCCATGCTGGCACCTTTCTATGTAACACACACGAGGGGAGTTTTCCTAAAATGAAAGTCACAGACTGAAGGCTTATGGGTCACATCAAAGACCCCTTATGTGTTCTTTTGTCTTGTATAAGGAAATCTGAATTCACTGACTCTATTTAAAAATCAGGTGATTTCAAGTAATTCTAATTTCCAGCTTCTCTGAAAAACTGGGAAGTGACGCCAACTCTGAGCCAGAATTCCAGCAGAGCAATTCCAGCACAGCAACCATCAGGAGCCAGAGCATGGCACCATCTCCTGTGCCTCCTCCCCTCGTGGTTGGGGCAGGGGTTCCCCAGTTTGCCCCCAACCCTACCCAACCCTCTGCACTCTCTGACATTACTTGCCTGGTCCCCACAAGCACACACCTGCAAGCCCTGGACAGAGCAGACTAAAGCCTGCACACACTTTCTCACCCAAGCTGCATACTTAACCGCGTATAAAATTACAAGTGCATCTTAACAATATACCCTCAGAGCAATTCATTAACATCTGCAGAGAGTCTACAGGGTATTATATAAACATTTCTTCATCATGGTAGCACGGAGATTTTTGTTAGAGCGGGACAAGATTTGGTCTCTGAGTCCAAAATCTAGGCTTTACAGAGGAGGAAACCGAGGCATGTGGAAATGAAGCGACTGGCCAAGACAGCAAGGTGAGTTACTACTGGAGACAACAGAGAGCCTCTACCACCTGCCCACCACTTCTGAGACTCTGGATATCTGTCCCTGCCCAAATCTCATGTTGAATTGTAATCCCCAGTGCTGGAGGTGGGGCCTGGTGGGAGATGCTGGATCATGGGTATGGATCCCTTGTGGCTTGGTGCTGTCCTTGTTACAGAGTTCTTGTGAGATCCGATCATTTAAAAGTGTGTGGCACCACGCCCCCAACTCTCTCTCTTTTGCTCCGGCTTCTGCCATGTGACACGCCTGCTCCCCCTTCACCTTCCGCCATGACGGGAAGCCTCCTGAGGCCTCCCCAGAAGCAGAAGCCACTATGCTTCCTGCACAGCCTACAGAACCAGGAGCCAATTAGACCTCTTTTCTTATAAATTACCCAGCCTCAGGCATTTCTTTATACCAATCCAAGAACATCTCATACAACCTCCACTCCAGGGAGAATTTTCAAAGTTATAAGGCACTTTCTCTAAAATCGGCTTTCCACGTTAGATTCCAGATTGCACTGATCAGGCTCCTACTATAATTCTTTGAAAGATTAACTGCTGGCAAACAGTTATCTGAAACCGGAACACATTCTCTCCAACAATTAGCAATCACTGCACTATGCGCAGTGGTCCAGGTTCTTAAATCTCAGTGCCAGCCCTCAGCAGGCGGCACTCTGGAGCACCTCCACCTGTCGTACCTAAGGCAACAGACAGGCATAAAACCACAAAATGTCCCACTCCTACTTGTCTCAAAGCCAAACGGAACACAATACTTGGAATTTAAAAGTCTGGTCTTACCCATAATGTAGGAAGGTACTCAGAGGAAGTGATCACGTTTCCACTTAAATCAAATTGATTAATCTGCCGGAAAACTATGATGTTTACATCATCGATATCATTATTCCCAACCTAGAGAGAGGGAGAGAGTGTGGGCAATGAGAAAGCTAGACCAGGAACTTCTATGCTAGGATCTGGCAGCCAGAGAGCTGACTCGAGGCAAAATTCACTTTTTACATTAAGAAAGTGAAGTTTGTCATTGAGTACCCTACGTTCAAGCTCACAAACTGGCAGAAAATAGCTATCCCTGGCCCTCAGACAAATTTTGTTTTGAGAGCACAGTATTTTTTTTCTAAGTTTTAATTACTTGCCATCAAGTTTAAAAGTAAGAAATTTCATATATAAAGCCAGATTTCCCAGCTTCTCCTAAAAAAAAAAGAAAAGGATGCTCTTGTCCATTAGCCATCAGCAGGGGCAGAGTCACAGCACCCCCTATGTGTGGGGTCTGTACATGGGGTTTTTGAGACCCCAGAGGGCCAGCTCCCTTTCCTTTCATACCTGCTAGCCACAGTCCACAGTATGTTAGTGATCCTGGCCTAAGTTACTACACCAAGAACATGCAAAGCATTTTGGTGTGAGATGCAGTCATCCCAGCCATTTAAAATGCTGACACCATCAAGACACCAAGGAAATCCACTTCTGGCTGGTTGCAGTGGCTTACGCCTATAATCCCAGCACTTTGGGAGGCTGAACCAGGCAGATCGCCTAAGGTCAGGAGTTCAAGACCAGCCTGGCCAACATGGCAAAACCCCATCTCTTCCAAAAACACAAAAATTACTGGGAGTGATGGTGTGTGCCTGCAATCCCAGGTACAGGCTAAGGAGGGAAAATCACTTCGACCCATTAAGTGGAGGTTGCAGTGAGCTGAGATCATGCCACTGCACTCCATCCTGGGCGACAGAGTGAGATTCCATCTCAAAAAAAAAAAAAGAAAAAGAAAATCCACTTCCTAGGTCAAAAGTTCTAACTGGCTCAATAACCTCCCTCCAAATTCCTCACAATCTTCATGCATAATGAAGTCACCTAAATAAAGCCACTAAGAGACAGCCCTTCTTGCCCACCTAAGCTGTCTAGTCTTGCCAATAATTGAGTGAGAGAAAAGCCCTACTTCAAATGATTCCCAGGCCACATCCCGTGATTAGCAGGACGTCCTCTTTAGGGATTAATTTAGCTAAGTCATGATCTTGAATATAAAAAGACTCCCCACCAAATGGGAGCAGGAAAAAGGTCATCTGAACCTAAGAAAACTGAGTGGCCCTGCCACCAACTGAGCCCATGTTCTCTCGATTATTGTCCCTTGATTTGAAATGCTGCTTATGCCTTAAGATCCTTCACTTGCGGAATAATGATCAGAGCTTACAGGGCAAATCACAGGGAAGGATACAACAGTTCCGATTTCCTTTCTGGATGCATGACAGCAACGCTGTTCATTAAAAACCCACATAAGATGCTGCTTGTGAAGATGACACCATTCTAAGAGGACCCTTAATGAGGAGTAAAGCTCCCCCCGCCACAGATGAAAGGCAGACAGCCAGAGAAACTTGGGAGGACTTCTGATCAGGGAGGCACCCACACCCAGGTGCAGTGGCAGCACTGAATGCCTCACCTCAATCACCCGATGGTGGGGGAGCGCCCGCTCAATGTGGTCGTTGCCTTCTGCCTTGAGCTGAACGTGGTACACACATCCCGGCTGCAAATAAACTCAGAGTCAATTCTCTAGAAAGGAGGCTTCTTGTATTGCGCCTGGTCTAAGCCTGGTTTGGCTGCATGTGGTCACTATAATAGGAGCATTTCTGTCCCCTCATTTCCCAATCTGCAGCCTGTTAACCTTTTTTTTTTTTTTTTTTTCTGAGACAGAGTCTTACTCTATCGCCCAGGCTGGAGTGCAATGGCATGCTCTCAGCTCACTGCAACCTCTGTCTCCCAGGTTCAAGTGATTCTCCTGCCTCAGCCTCCTGAGTAGTTGGGATTACAGACGTGTGGCACCACATCCAGCTAATTTTTGTATTTTTAGTAGAAACAGGGTTTCACCATGTTGGTCAGCCTGGTCTCGAACTCCTGACCTCATGATCCGCCCACCTCCACCTCCCAAAGTGCTGGGATTACAGGCGTTGAGTCACTATGCCTGGCCCTGTTAACCTTCTTAAAAGTTCAGAATTCCTTTAAAATCACCCCTGGTGTTGAAGCATCTGAAATTCTGTGACCCTTTGATTCCCAACTCAGTTTCATTTTCTTTTACCCCAGAAAAGTCAAATTGGGTTTCTTATTTCAAAATTCCAAGCATAATATGCACTCCCACACTTCTAAGATTTTTTTCCATCCACCTCTCCCCTCTACCCATGTATACACATCACTGGATATCTGGAATGTCCATCGTAAGCATTCCCAAATGCTTGTGTTGGATATTATTTCTGGGAAGTGGGAATTTCTGACTTCTCTTTTTAAAATTCAAATGATCTGGCAATGCTGAGTCTGTCTTCCCCCATGGCTACAATAAGCTGGAGCCAAGTAACAGGCTGCCCCTTTCCACAGGCCGTGCCTGCTCCACAGTCTTCTCCCTATTGTTCACTCAGCCTCCTCCACTGTTCACACTGCTCTTCTGGCCCCACAGGCACTTGGCTTGAGAGCCCTGGCATAGGCCGTGGCCACACACTGCTAGGGCCAAGTCCCACCAAATCCTGGGTTTTCAAACTTCATTGTGCCACAGATCCTTGATCTGACCTGTTAGCTAGAAAAAAATGCAAACTGTACTCATTAAGGTAAGAATTGGAACGCTCCAGAGTCCCATCCGACCCCTCTCACCCACCCCACTCCTGGCAGTCTCGGGGGTACCACAAGACACTTCTGAACACAGGATGAAAAAAAAGTCCCCTAAGAAAACACGTTCCAAGTCTCACCAGCAATCCACGTAATCTGAACTTGCCCTCTTCATCTGTCACGGTGTCTTCTCCATAAATGCTGCAGTCATTCTGGCCCACGGCTTCCACAGCAACCCCTTGTTCAGGTTCTCCATTTAAGGAAGACACTGTGCCATAGCAACTAGTATGGCAAGAAAAGACATGAACGAGATATTCTCATGGTTATCTGAAGGACCCAAGTGCTTCCCATTTACCAGCAATTATGGGACAAAACAGCTCAGTGCAGAACTGTGCCCCAGTGACCCAAGCAACTCGGTGTGGCTGGGCCACTTCCAGACTGCACCTTATCCCTCCTGCCAGAGTGAAAAGCTGTCATCAATTTCTCTTCTCATACATTTTGAGGAGTGCTCTGGAAAACTGTAATTTAAGAAGGCTAAGCTTCATTTTCTTCTTTCTGGGCTTTATTTTAAATCATGAGCATTCAATAACATGGAAATAATTCGATTCCTCTTTCACTCCACATATTCAGCTGAAAATGGTCCATTTTTCTACACCCAATCTTTCCGATTACTCTTCATGTAATGTGATTCTGCAAACGTGTACAAATACATATATACGTATTTTTGTTTATGTGTCTGTGTGTATACATGTATATATGTACACGTCTTTTTACCTAGAGATGTATATCATTTTTGTTTTTTGTAAAGACAGGGTCTTGCTATATTGCCTAGGCTGGTCTTGAACTTCTGGAGTCAAGCAAACCTCCCACTTCAGCCTCTAAAAGTGCTGGGATTATAGGTGTGAGGCACTGTGCCTTGCCAGACACTAATGTGTATCTATCTATCTATAGCTGGAAGCATTCAGAAAAACTGGAAGTACTGGTTGTTTCCCAGAAGAACTTGGGTGGCTGAGAGACGGAGCGAAGGGGAAACTTTACACTATACTCTTTTCAGCATTTTGAAGTTTTACTCAAGTGAACACACTACCTCCTTTGAATAATTTAACTCAGGTTTGAAACTCTTTTAAAAAATAAAAGTGGCCAGGCCTGATGGCTCACACTCGTAATCCCAACACTTTGGGAGGTGGGCAAATCACCTGAGGTCAGGTGTTTGAGACCAGCCTGGCCAACACAGTGAAACACCATCTCTACTAAACATACAAAAATTGCCCAGGCCTGGGGGTGGGCAACTGTATTCTTAGCTACTTGTGAGGCTGAGACAAGAGAATCACTTGAACCCAGGAGGCAGAGGCTGCAGTGAGCCAAGACTGCACCACTGTACTCCAGCCTGGGCAAGAAGAGTTAAACACTATCTCAAAAAATAAAAAATAAATAAAAGCTTTTAGTAACTCAATAGGTTTTCTCAAGTTCATTTCAAAATAGGAAATTTGAGACTGAACCACCAGGTTGAGCTACTAGGACAAAAAGGCAGCAGTCAAAACTCCTTTGACCTCGTATCTCATCTCCCTTGCCTCCCAGATAAAATCAATGTGAAGCCTGGGATGCATCTCCAGGCAACAGAAGCCTGAATGCGATTCACCAGCGCAGCCCTGGAAGAGAGTGTGGTGGCTGGGGCACTTACCTATAAGCGGTTCGATACCCCGTGATAGTGATCTTCAGATTCTGGCCTTCCTGCACCTCGATCATCTGTGAGGACGGCTCAAACCGGAACTCCTTCATCATGGGCTTGAAGTAATACTGGCCAGGGCTCTGCCAAGATAATCACACTGAGCCTCAGCAGCCATATCTAGGTATGGCTTAAAAGTGGGGGGCAAAGGTCACGATGGACCAGAATTACACCACAGGAGTGCCATGGCTTCCCAGGCAGCCAAAAATGTAACCCTCTCTCTACAATCACAACTCTAACAATGGCAGCTGCCAGTATCACCTGCCTGCAATGACTCTGCAAGGTAGAAGTCATATTTCACATTTTTTTTTAAAGGCAGGGCTTCACTCTGTCCCCCAGGATGGAGTGCAGTGGCAAGATCACAGAACACTGTAGCTTCAACCTCCTGGGCTCAAGCAAATCTCCCACCTCGGCCTCCTGAGTAGCCGGGACCACAGGCGTGCACCACCATGGCCAGCTAATTTTTTTAATTTTTGTAGAGATGGGGTTTCCCTAGATTGCTGGTCTCAAACTCCTGAGCTCAAGCAATCCTCCCACCTCACCCTCCCAAAGCAGTGAGATTATAGGTATGAGCCACCAGGCCTGGCTCGTATTTGAATTTAATGAATAAAGAAATAGACTCAGAGAGGCAAAGTAAGTTGCCTGATAGGACACAGCAAGTAAGGAGCAGTATGCATCACTGCAAAGAGCATCTTCAGATGCCCCCACTGCCTGGTCTGTGGTAGTCCCACCACAGCCACTTTGTTACCACAACTGACAAGATGACCAGCTAACTGAATCCCCACCAGTTAGGGCCTCCAACTGCATCTCAAAAGAAAAATTGCTGCTCTCTTCCCACCATTGGAATGTGATCTTCAGAAGAAACACAAGCTAAGCACCGAACAAGACTCGGCATCATAAACATGATTCCACGGCAAAATAAGATGACACCTGAGAGGGTAGCCGCTGTGGCTAGGGTAATTAGTTACACTGTCTCAATGACAAGCAGGCGATCAGAAAACAAAAGGTGCCATGAAGGGAACATGAATCAGCAGCATGAAGTTCGAGTAAGAGCAATACTAACTACTGTGGTCCCCCACGAAACTGAAACCGCTCCCCAGTGGTTTCATCTTCTCATGTTGTCAAGCAACATGTAAGTATCACACGCCACATCCTGGTCTCTCTTAGGGAAGACAGGCAGGCGGGAAATTGCAGAACACATTACCAGGTTTGAGAACGTCAGAATGCCATTGTCCTGGGTCAAGAGGTTGGAACGAAACAGGCCACCGCTAAGGGATAAGAGGACTCCCGGAAGGGGCTGGTCATCCTCAGCTTTTATCTGGGGATGAGAAGGCAAGACCAAAGAGCGAGGTTAAACTCCAACTAACCATGAAGATAACAATTCCACAAGTCAAGAGGTCATTCTTTTACAGTTTTTTTTCTTTTATTGTTACTCAAGGAGGACAGGGGACCTAATCTTCCTCCCCACAGGTAACTAATGATATAAGTTTTATAAATTCGGTGTGTAGCCTTCCAGAACTTTATTTTCGAGATAGGATCTTGCTCTGTCACCAAGGCTGGAGTGCAGTGGCACAATCTGGGCTCACTACAACCTCTGCCTCCCAAGCTCAAGCAACCCTCCAGCCTCTACCTCCTGAGGAGAGGGGACTACAGGCACATGACACCATGCCCAGCGAAGTTTTTGTATTTTTTATAGAAATGGGTTTGCCATGTTGCCCAGGCTGATTTCAATCTACTGGGCTCAAGCATCTACCTGCCTGGGCCTCCCAACGTGCTAAAATTAGAGGCACCAGCCACCATGCCCAGCCCAGAACTCCTTCTATGCCCACACACATTTTCTAAACATTACGTATGTATTATTGTTCACAGACTGGCAAGTTCATTGAGTGGGTGGAGAAGGTGAAATAAAAATGGCATGTTACATGTACATTTCCACAACTTGCTCTCTTCCTCAACAATTTATCCTGCTTCTCTTCTGCCAGCCAACAGAAACCTGCCTCCCTGTTTCTTAACTACTGTGTAGCATTCTAAGGCAGGGGTTGACAAACCACAGCCTGCACACCAGCCACCTATATTTTGGTACAAGAGACAATCGGAATATCCCCAAATACGTATCTCTATGTACTTAGGCTTTTTCTTTCCCGGAACAATCAATTCCTAGAATTGTTGGATATACGCACTTTAAATTCAGAAAGATACTATCAAACTGCATTCCAAAGTGGCTGGAACTACTTACAGTCCCATAAATTATTTATGCTTGGGAAAACCCACACTTACAAAAAAATAGAGATTGCCTTAATTACGGCAAATCTAAGTTACCAAAACAGTTTCGATGGTAACTTCCTTTGCACATTTCCTCAGTAACTACGGAAGCTTAGTGTTTCTATATTTATTAGTCACCTGCGTTACTTCCATGAATTTCCTTTTCATATCCTTCCTTCATTTTTTTTTTTTTTCTAGCATGTTGTCTTTTTCCTACCACCTTTAGGAGCTCCTTGTAAAATGGGGATAGTGTTGGCCAGGCCTGGTGGCGCAAGCCTGTAATCCCAGCACTTTGGGAGGCCGAGGCCGGTGGATCATGAGGTCAGAAGTTCAAGACCAGCCTGGCCAAGATGGTGAAAACCACCTCAACTAAAAATACAAAAATTAGCCGGGCACGGTGGCTAATTTTACGCCTGTAATCCCAGCTACTCGGGAGCCTGAGGCAGGAGAATTGCTTTAACCCAGGTGGCAGAAGTGACCACTGCACTCCAGCCTGGCCAACAGAGTGAGACTCTGTCTCAATTTAAAAAAAAGGGGGGTGTGGGGGGAATATTATTTATGACACAAACATTTCTTCCCAGTTTGAATATCTTTCAATTTGGTTCAAAAATTCAGCAATATAGAATTTTAAATTTTTATGCGATGTAATCTGTCACTTTACTCTTTTCCTTTGGCCTATGGTTTATAAATATTCCTTCTCAACAATCTCTAGACCCACTCTGTACAATCAAAGCACGCTTCTTCCCAAGAAGGGCTGATGGAGGAGAGCTAGGCAGCTAACACCTCATTAAGAACAATCTGTGTCCTTCAACATGAACAGTTATGGATGACAGCTTCAACTACTTCAACTACTGTAGTACCAACAACAGAAGGTACACAAACATGCTCAAGTCAACAGTTCTCCAAATGATGCTGCATGAAAGAAGCCGGACCAAAAAAAAAAAAAGTATATCCCGTATGATTCCATTACTTTCAATGGCAGAAACTGCAATCACTTTTGCACCAACCTACAAAAACTCAAAAATGCAAACTAATCAATGGTGACGAAAAATAGTTCATCAGCTCAGTGGAACGGTGGGAGGTAGGGATTACCAAGGAGCAGGAGGAAATCTTGAGGGTCACAGATGTGCCCACTATTTTGACTGTGGAGGTGTTTTCATCAGTATATTCATAGGTCAAGACTATGACTCTCTACCCTTTCTGTGCAGTTTATTATATGTTAATTATACCTCAATATAACTGTCTTTGTAAAATACAGTGTTACCTCAAAGCTTACGCCTGCCAGGGCATAGGCCTTGAAGTCTCCGACGGTTCCTTCCACGGCAGTCAGAACGTAGCCCTCCTTCTGTGAGGTCACCGTGTACTCCAGGTCACTGTGCAAGGGGCCGACACTGAAGAGGACAAAGCAGAACGTGATCAATGGCTTTGTTCACACCCATAGGAAGCCTTACCAAGCCCAAGGAAATGTGGGACCAGTTTCTTCGGTGGACCCTTACGCTGATCCCAGGCAAACATGTCTCTATCCTGGGCTCACCTGTAGGCACCTTTGTCATCAGTAAAGACTGTGATCAGGGGTGAACTCGCCCCCTTTTCACTGATGATAATCTCGACTCCTTCCAACTCGGGGTGGATCTGGCCTTCTAAAAACAGGCCTGCCTTCCCGTGGATCTCGATCAGCTTCCCTGGGCAGCTTTCTAAGAGGGGAAGAAATAAACACAAGGATGGGGCTTGGTTACAAAGAAACAGGAGCCTCTTGGCTGGGGGCTTCCCGTAAGAGAAACAGCTAATACAGATATTAGAAGCTAGTTCCAAATTCGCCCTGGGAGCTCAATAATAGGATACAGCCCAAGCCTCCTTCCATCCCTGAAAAGCCTTGCTCAATGCCAAGACTTTAGCAAGAGAATCAAAAAATGCCAAAGACTGGTTTTTACTACTACTTTTCCTGGGTTCTCAGGAGGCTACAGATCAGGAGAGAACCCTTCACAGCAGACAGGAGGCTGTGCTGCTCAACCTCCAGAGGACCCACTGAGGAAGACTGTCCCAAAGAGCCTGCCTACTGGAAGTCACACTTTTCAAAACACTCTGCTTCCAAACATGAACCACATAACAACCACAACCTAATGAAGCCATAGTGCTGGGAGAAAAGATAAGTTAGCAAAAGACAAATACTCCACAAGTGATCATTTCAATCATCCATTCCCCCCCGCCGCCCCACCAAAAAAAAAAAAAAAACACCCTCCCATCATGCTCTGCCAAACAACAGAAAGATCATCAAAGGTCATCACTGCGGTTTTGCTCTTCACTGATGTTGACCTGATAATGTCAAAGAAAACCAAGTCCTTTTCCAAAAAGATCAACTAAATTCTCACAGCAAAAGTTACTTTTATTTATCTAAATCATCCATCCAACCATCCATCCAACCATCCAACCATCCATCCATCCATCCATCCATCCATCCATCCATCCATCCTACAGTAACAGCTGTGTGCCAGAGAGGATGTAAGCTGGCTTACAAAGATGGCTTCACTATAACAACACAAATTTATTTGTAAATGCAGGCGAGGGAACAATTGCAAAGGTGTGTGTGACATCTGCTTGCTAGGTTGACATTTACCTCCACTGACGATGGCTTCCATTGAAGGGGGATAAAAGAGCAGCTCTTTAGATGATGGTGTAACAGTGATTTTCTCTCCAGACCTAAAATAATTAATATACTTCCGTTTGGTGGGTGCTGAACCCCCAAGAATGGAGGACACTGTATGGAAATGCACAAGAGAGCTTACCGGGCCCAATAAGAGAAATCATATGAGAAGGGGCCTTGCAACTCATCTACCATTTCCTGCACGGGCGGCTTGGTCATTCTTTCTTCCCCTTCCTCTTTGCCGTTCTTCTCCCTCTCCTGTCTGCGGGCCTCGATCTCAGCCAGCTGCTGTTCCCTCCGCAGCTCCTGCACAGACTTCAGAGGGCCTAAGACCAAGGCGGGTTCACTGTCGATGGAAGACCTGGAAGAGAGGAATGGCGGTCCCTGGGACATGGTTGAGTATCCCTGTGGTCAGTGGGAATTTGATCTTTCTACAAGAATGGACTTGTGAGTTAAAAACTGAACACCTCATCGTGACGCCACAGTGGTGGAGTCTTCTGTTTTAAATAAACTTGTAGTTCAACAAAAAAAAAAAAAACTGAATTTCACAGTGATGGCGGCAGTATCTGGTAGAACTGGGCTGGAATGGAATAAAACCGTTGATTTTATGATGACTGGACATAAGCCTGTCAGTTTCCACGTAGGACATGGAGTTCTCTCCACACTACCATCCTCTGTTCCTTCATTCTATCTTCACTGAGAACTGCTCTGATAGAGAACTAGGCACTGGAGATACAACATTGACAAAACAGACCACACTCCCTACCCCAGTGGAATCCACATTTTAGTGGGAAGGGGCTGAAAATAAATACAAACATAATACCAGAGGATAAGTGCAATAAAGAAAAATAAAGCAGTGTGGGAGGACAGAGAGCCTGCAGCACTGCTTTACATGAAAGGGACAGTCAAGACCTTTCTAATGAGGTGACATTGAGCAAAGGTCTGAAGGGAGAGAACATGCCATGAAGCTCTCTGGGTAAAGAGTCACTCGAGCAAAGCGATGCCAAGTGCAAAGTCCTTAGAGAGAGAGCTCACTCAGATGTTCAAGCAACAGCAAGAACAGCCCAGCCCGGGATAAAGGGGCCCAGAGAAGCGACACAGCCATCAAGGGGCAGCAGGTGTCAGACTGAGGCTTCACAGGCTTGGTGCTGACCTGGAGCCACTGGAGTTTTGAGTCGAGGAATGGTATAATCTCCACCAATAAAAGAATCACTTGCTGCCTCATGAAGAACACATGAAGCAATGGCGGAAACAGGAAGGCCAGCTGGGAAGCTGCTGCAGTGATCCAGGAAGGGGTCAGACCACGGCTGGGGGCCACATGTTAGGAAGAGAAAGCCAGCTGGGAAGCTGCTGCAGTGATCCAGGAAGGGGTCAGACCACGGCTGGGGGCCACATGTTAGGAAGAGAAAGCCAGCTGGGAAGCTGCTGCAGTGATCCAGGAAGGGGTCAGACCACAGCTGGGGGCCACATGTTAGGAAGAGAAAGCCAGCTGGGAAGCTGCTGCAGTGATCCAGGAAGGGGTCAGACCAAGGCTGAGGGCCACATATTAGGAAGGGAAGGCCAGCTGGGAAGCTGCTGCAGTGATCCAGGAAGGGGTCAGACCACAGCTGGGGGCCATGTGGTAAGAAGGGACTAGATGCCGGGTATATTTTGACTGTAAAGCCATGGCTTTGTTGAGGAATTGGTTGGGCATGGGGTCCAAGAGAAAAAATAATCAAGGAACAAGGAGAAAGAGGGAGCTGCCATTTCTAAATCAGGGAAGATCACAGAGAGGCTCTATGGAGAGCAATGTCAGCAGTCCGATTTTGGGTCTAAGTACAATATCCCAGGGGTGATCCAAGTGGCTCTGTCTAGCTGGAAGATGCACTCCATACAACCTCCGGCACAAGCAAGCAACACAAATACCCTTCCGAAGTAACAAAAATGAATGTAATCAAGCTGAAAGGAGGTAATATTGAGTCACTACTGGTAAGAAAGTAGACTGCTAGTCCCATCAGTAATTCATACTTTCCAAGCAGGAAGACAGTAAATGGCAGTATGCCAGCACCAGGCACCTTCTGGGACTACAACAGACACTCAGCAAATCCACCCCCAGCTACAACCCTGGCTCCCCATCACCAGAAACCAGGGGTATCCCTGACATTTCTCCCATCCTGACCCAGTGGTCACTTTAGTGCCATGTCTCATCAACTCAGTCCCTCAAAGACTCCCTGACAGATCCGTCGCTCTCCATCTCCACAGCCACCAGTCTATCTGGGGCCCCCGTCACCTCCCCCATCTCTACCACCCCCCACTCTCAGCCTGTTCACCACTCAGCAGACAGGGGGACCTTTAGGAAGAAAAAAGTCATCCCTCTACATAAAACACGTCAATTACATCATGGGACAGACTAAGGACCTTAATGGGGCCTGGCCCCAAGCAGCCAACCTGTCCCGCATGCCCCCGAGGTCAAGCTCAGCACAGTTGTCATTTTACAGCTCTGCATGTGAGTCTCTACCACTGTCTGCCTACCCCATGAGACCATCAATCCCATGAATGCAGAAGCTGTGGCCTCATAAGCCCAGTGCCTAAACACTGAAGACCTTCAGTTATTTGGTCATCATATATTCTGCAGGGATGAAGGATGGATAAACAGACGATAGAAAGACGGAAACATAGATGGACAGGCGACTTCAAGCAGGGGCAGGGAGGAGACAGTGACTCTGATTCCCATTCTACTTGACAAAGACGGTCATGTTGCCAAAACTCTCATTTCTCAAGAAAATGCAGCTGTCACAGGTACCTCACCACGCTGCAGAAATTCCCTGAGAGGCGACATTCACATGAACGTGACCCTCGGTGAGGGACTTGTCTTTCAAGTATTTCCTCTCTCATGACCCTTTCTTATACCAGGTGTCCTCTATTTCCCAAGCCTTCAAGCAAAGGTCTAAAGAAAACTAGGCAATTTTTTTTTAATTTGCTAAAACACTTGAAATACAATGCACAAACCCCAGAGATTTTTTTTTTTTTCCTTAGCTAATACAAGAAATACAAACAGTTCAAACAGAAACCGAAGACACTGAAACAAGCTGTCGTAACGCTCTTCCTCACCCACAGGTAATTTCTGAATCAGAAAAGAAAAGGATCAAGGAAGGCTGCTGGGAATTTACGATGACGTCCTGTAAGAGAAGGAAGGCCAATCCAAGATGGCCGACCACTAACAGCTCAGGATTGTAGCTCCCAGTGAAAGCTCAGAGAACGAGACGACGCCACATCTTTAGACGAATTTTCGTCACTCACCGATTAGCCGATTCCCAGTGGAGGAGCCCCACGGGTCGCCAGCGCAACTCTTGTGGCCGCCGCAGCGGTTTTGCCGGCGTCTCGGCGCAGCAGCTCTTCATGCAGAGCCAACGGGACTGCTTCCCCTACTGACCCGAGTTTGGAGCTCCGGGAAGTCAGAGCCGCTTGTTGCGGACTCAAGAGGGAAGCCAGACCAGAGATTCCCGGGCAGAAGAGCACCATCAGTCTTATCGTTGCTATTTAGGCTGCCACAGTGGGTTGCTCGGATCCCAGCACTGGGAATCAATAAGTCGGGTGTCGACTCAGAAACCTAATTAGAAAGGCGGTTCATTTACAATGAAGGGAAAAAGACAGTATAAGAAGGCCGAGTATACTCAAAATCAGAACCCGTCAGCAATGGAACAAGCCCTGATGGAAAAGGACTCATCAGCAACCGAACAAGCCCTGATGGAAAAGGACTATGTTCCATTATCTGAAGTAGGCTTTAAAAGGTGGATGATAAGAAACTTCTGGGAGTTAAAGGAACTTGTTCTAACCCAATGTAAAGAAACTAAGAACTTGGAAAAAAGGTTAGATGAAATGTTGAAAAGAATAGACAATATAGAGAGGAATACAAATGAACTTATGGAGTTGAAAAATACAACACGAGAACTTAGTGAAATATGTACAAGCTTAAACAGCCGAATGGATCAAGCAGAAGAAAGGGTATCAGAGGTCGAAGACCAACTTAATGAAACAAAACGACAAGACAAGAATAGAGAAAAAAGGATAAAAAGGAATGAGCAAAGTCTCCAAGCAATATGGGACTATGTGAAAAGACCTAATATACGCTTGATTGGTGTACCTGAATGTGACGGAGAGAACCAAGTCAAGCTGGAAAATACTCTCCAGGACATTATCCAGGAAAATTTTCCTAATTTAGCAAAGCAGGACACTATTCAACCCCAGGCAAAACAGAGACCACCACAAAGATACTCCTCAAGAAGACCAACCCCAAGGCACATAATCGTTAGATTCACCAAGATCGAAACGAAGGAGAAAATATTAAGGGCAGCCAGAGAGAAAGATCAAGTTACCCATAAAGGCAAGCCTATTAGGCTTACAGCAGATCTCTCAACGGAAACCCTACAAGCTAGAAGAGAGTGGGGGCCAATATTCAATATACTTAATCAACAGAACTTTCAGCCCAGAATTTCATATCCTGCCAATTTAAGCTTTACATTTGAAGGAAAAATAAAATCTTTTAGGAACAAGCAAGTACTCAGAGATTTTATTACCACCAGGCCTGCTTTACAAGAACTTCTAAAAGAAGCATTATATACAGAAAGGAACAACCAGTATGACCCTTTCTAAAAATACACCAAAAAGTAAAGAGCATTAACATAAAGAAGAATTTTTATCAACGAAAGGACAAAATAGCCAGTTAATATCAAATGGCAGCAACCCTAAATTTAAATTGACCAAATCTCCCAATCAAAAGATACAGACAAAATCCAACGGTATATCCAAAGATATACATAGACTCAAAATAAAGGGTTGGAAAAAAAAAAAAAAACCTACCAACCAAATGGAGAGCAAAAATAAATATATAAGAAGCAGGAGTTGCAATTTTCACATTTGACAAAATAGATTTCAAAGCTACAAGGATACAAGGGTAAAAGGATTAATGTAATAATAAGAGATCTTAACACCCAGATACATAAGACCCATAATGAGATTTAGATTCAACGAGACAGAAAATTGATAACGATATCCGGGACTGGAACTAAGATCCAGAACAAACAAACTCAATAGAGCTCTCCATTTTAAACACACAAAATATACATTATCCACAAAATCTAACGATATATCTAAAGATATACAAAGACTCAAAACAAGGGGATGGAAAAAAACTCACCAACCAAATGGAGAGCAAAAATAAATAAATAAAAAGCAGGAGTTGTAATTCTCACACTTAATAAAATAGAGCTACAAGGATGCAAGGGTAAAAGCTACAAGGATGCAAGGGTAAAAGGATTAATGTAACAATAAGAGATCTTAACACCCAGATACATAAGACACATAATGAGATTTAGATTCAACGAGACAACAAATTGATAACAATATCCAGGACTTGAACTCAGAGCCAGAACAAATAAACACAATAGAGGTCTCCATTTTAAACACATAAAATATGCATTAACCACTTTAAACACTCAAAATATTGATCGGCCATTATTGAAACCCATTTTAGGAATGAAGTAATATTCCTTTTTCCCTCTTTTTCTTTTTTTCCCCTTCTTTTTCTCTTTTTCCCTCTAAAAAAAAAAAAAAAGAGAAGGAAGGCCACTTGTATACACAAATAGAAATAAGAAATCAAAACTAATTTCCAGAGTCTATTAGAGACCTCCAGGTCTCATCCACACCCTCCCTCACCACTCTCAGCCCATCGCAGAACACTCGACTTACTTGATAGTCACAGTGACATCCATCATTTTGTCGGTGGTGATAGTTCCAAGGACATGGTGGCGAATGGCTGTCAACGTCAAGATACTAGGTGAAGACCTATAAATCAAAGAAGAGGAAGGAAACACTAGAACCTACACGTTCTCGGAAGACCGTCAGCAATACCCGATTTGGGCATCCTTCCCGACCCTAAGTTTACTACAGAAAATTGCTCTTAGCCTGGGGTAAAATAACTCTGGAGATCCACAGAAGTATTTTAAAGAGTAAACTAATCCTCCACTCCAAAATACACTTCCAACTCCCAGTGAAACCGACACAGGTCTGTAAAAATATAAAAATGGCAGACTTGGGCTTGACTGATGCCCATCAGTGAGGGTGGGGAGAGTCAATAGAGCTTCTATTTCAGCCACTTCAAAAACACAACCCTCTATCCTGGGGTTACAGAATTCTAGGGAGAGATCCTCTCTCTGGTTCCTCAGTAACTAATCCAAGTGTCTTAAAACCCTTATCCAGAAATTCTGTTGAAGACCTAACCTTGCCTCTTTCAGAAAAAAAACAGAAAAATTCCTTTTGTTCTCTGAAGTAAATGGAGGAGTGAAGCACACTCGCTCTCCTCCAAAAGCATTCAATTCCCGGGCTTACGTGTCATAGGTGTAGAACGCTTGCTCAAACCGGTGACAGGAGCGAGGGGTCACTTTGTACACACCTACAGACAGGAAATCAAAAGCAATTTTCAGAGAACGGCATCTATTACACTGAGCAACTCTGACATTTGAAATCCAAAGGCAGGCAGCTCTTTGCATGTGAAAACTCAAAGGTATCGCAGATCAGCTATAATGGGATCAGAAATACTGGGCAGGCATAATTTTCACTGCCTGTGATGGCTTCTTACCAATCACCAAATCCACATAACAGCCCAATCACAGGCACACGATTTTCATTTTCCATAACGTAACAACTCATAGTAGTTAAATCTGCGCAGACCAAGTGAACTAAGGTCAGGTGTACACCGCTACTGCAAATTGGACTGAGGATAATTTTCTACTTAAAAGATCCTATTAAGGATCCAAGAGATAACCACAGCCTCAATTTCTTCCTATAAATATTCGTAAAAAGGAGGCAAGGACTCAGGGACGCCCCAGAAAAGTATGAGTGTACGTGGGAGGACGCTCTGAGTAGGGATGTATTTCATCACTTGTCAGAGGAATACCGTCAATTTCGGGAAGATACAAGGAATAACAATGCATTCCCCTAAATCATCATTAACCAATATTCTGGCCACATTTTTTGCAAAAACCTGAAATTCGTTCAAGCTACCCTGCTATTTTCATTGCACTCAACAAGTCCGAGTAGTTACCACCCAAAAAACAAGAAAAGATCAGGTTTCTCCATTCATTTGTTTGGTCTGTCATTCAACAAATATTGACAGAGTGCCTCTTCCTGGCCAGATACTGTCCTAGGTACTGGTACACAGTGGGGTATGACAGAGCAGTGGTCTCTGTCTTAATGGAGTTTACCATCCACAGAGAGAGGAGGGCATTTGACAGCCACAAACAAAAAAAATCAATTGCGGCATGTGCAAGAAGGGGACAGAAGTGAGTGCTGAGGGCAAGAGTGTAGGAGACAGGTCTAAGTGGCCCTAGAGGCCATCTTCCCCCAGGGAAGCAATACTGAACTGATGGGTAAGAATGCCCTGGCTAGGAGGGACAGGAGGACATGTCCACAGAGAACAGCATCTGCCTCACAGGCTGGGTCAGTGTTTCCTCAACAGGCCTCCTTCCTGCCTTGAGAAAAAGCCCTGGTTATGTTGAGGGTAGCAACATGCTCAGCCTTGGGCAGCGCATCCAACTGTCCCAGCCCCTCTTGCAGTGAGAAGTAACCATGTGACACAGTTCAAGCCAATAATACAGACAAGTAGCTTACTGGAGGAGGGGGCACGAGGAAATGTTTGCCTGCCCCCTCCTTGTCTTTCGCCTTCAACATAAGTTTTCTAACCATAGCTATTTTGAAAACATAAGGCAAAAAATACAAGGGAAAGGCCTAAAGAATCACAGAGACACCACCTCTACCATCTACCAGCTGCTGAACCCATGCAGGCAGCCACATACTGCCACACTTCTTTACTGAGCCAAATAAACGCCCACTTGCTAATAGCACTGCTGCATGGATTTTGTTAAGTGTAGCCAAAGGCTGCTGAACTGACACCCAGAAGGACAGAGTGACTGGATGAGAGAGAGTGGCAGACAGGGCTGGGTCACACAGGAGCTAAGATCAGGTTAAGGATCTAAGGAGTTTGTATTTTATCTTGGGAACCAAGGGGAGGAGCCACTGAATTATTCATTAGGAAAATGCGAAATAAAACAAAGATAGACACTACTTCACATCTACCAGAATGGCTATGATAAAACAAGATAATAACAAACACTGGTGAAGGAGGTGAAGAAACCAAATCCCTCGTGTATTGCTGGTGGGAATATCAAATGACACAGCCTCTGCGGAAAACAATTTGACAGTTTCTTTAAAAATCAAACATAATTTAGCACGCAATCCAACAATTCCATTCCTGGGTATCTAAACAAGGAAAATGAAAACATATAGACACAAAGACTTGTACAAGAATGTCCATAACGTTATTCATAATAGGGCCAAACTAGAAACCACTCAAATATCCACCAATTGGTAAATGGATATACAAAATGTGATCTAACCATACACCGGAAGCAATGTAACACAACAAATTACTGATGTGTGCTATGACACAGATAAACTTCAAAGATATGTTAAATAAAAGAAGCCAGACAAAATACCAATGCTGTATGATAAACATCCAAAAAAAGCAAATCCATTGGGACAGAAAATAGATCAGTGGTTGCCTGTGGCTGGAAACAGGGATGAACTGTCAGCAGGCACTGAGGATCTTACACTGTGGGTAATGAACAGCTCTAAAACTGGATTCTGGCCATGGTTGTTCAACTAGGTAAATGGACTACAAATCATTTTATTGTATATTTTAAATAGGTGAGTTTTATGATATGCAAACTCTGCCTACAAAAAAAGCTGTTATAAAAGACAGAGGGCTGGGTGCAGTTGCTCACACCTGTAATCCCAGCACTTTGGGAGGCTGGGGCAGGCAGATCACTTGAGGTCAGGAGTTCAAGACCAGCCTAGACAACATGGTGAAACCCATCTCTACTAAAACTACAAAAATCAGCCAGGCGTGGTGGCAGGTGCTTGTAATCCGAGCTACTCAGGAAGCTGACGCAGGAGAATCGCTTGAACCCGGGAGGTAGAGGCTGCAGTGAGCCAAGATGGAGCCACTATACTCCAGCCTGGGTGACATAGCAAGACTCAATCTCAAAAAAAAAAAAGAGAGACAGAAGCCACTGATTCAATTTTTAAGACAGCACTTTAAAGAGAGGTCATTGCCCAATGGTATATTTTCAGAGGTGAAAGGGCCCAGTAGTCTCTACCCAATTCAAACCCAAGAGAGACAGAAAAATAAGAGCAGACTGAACACACTGAAATTGACGGCTTGATGCAAACAGAACCAAGGTAGGAAAAAATGCCTTCAAAACCATCCTCTGGTGCCTTTCCATTCTTCTATTTCGTAGCATATCAATCCTTCCAAACTTACCAGGTTTGGACAGGCAGAATCGGTTAACTCCTTTGGAGAGGTTATAAATCCCCACGTTCTCACGTCCATTTCCATCCTGATAAAATTCCTAAGGGAGCAAAGCCAATACGATGACTTATTAGGAGAGATGGAGACACCAAGATGATTAATAATATTTCTCTTTCCAAACCAGTCATCTGTTTTGCTCATTAATCATCTGAGCAGTTGGGTGCCACAGGAAAATTTAAAACCTCCCAAAACTTCCAACAAAAGGATACTCTTTTTCATTCAATCAACTAATATTTATTGAGCACCTGCTATGTGACAGACACAAGGCTGGGCCTTGGGAGCCACCTCGATGGCTCCTGCTCTCACAGGGCTTATGTTCTAATACAGGAAGACAAAATCAAGGAGTCAGCAAATAAATTAGTGATCTCAGCTGGTAAGTAAGGAAGCTGTGAAAATAAACAGGGAAGCAAGAGAAGAACAATCCCGACCTAGGGGTCTTTAACTCGCTAGTTCCAGGGCACATCTTTCCTGAACTAGGGCTGCAGCCTGAATGAGGAGGAAAAACTAATGACATGTTTCTGAAGAAGACACAACATTCCAGGCAGAGGAGACAGTGTGTGCAAAGGCCCCGAGCAGAGAGTGAGCTTGGTATGGGACTGGAGAGGACCACTGCAGCTGGGGCCCGGCCAGTGAGGGAACAGTAGCAGGAGATAAAGAAGGGGTTAAGGAAGTATCAATAACAACAACAATAAAAAAAGGGGGCTTAGTATAAGGGAGCTGGAAATCACTCCACTGCTGAAAGGGAAAGGTTTCCTAAATATCCATCACTTACTATCACCAGATACTAACCTATCTCCTGTCACAAATCGGCTTGTCGAGTGTTGGTAATTATGCAGTTAAGGCAGTAAGCTGTTGAAACACCAGTTTCAATTCTTCTAGTGTTCAACATCAGTAGTCACTTAATTGCCATTTGCATCAGTTTCTCTACAGAGAAACTAAGACCTGACAATGACGTCTGCCACTGCTCAACATCAAAACATTATAGAAAATTCATGAAGGGATCGACATAGGTGCTTCCGAAACCCATTTCACACTGCCTTTCAGGCCACAGAGCCCACAGTCAGGAGACTGAGATCCTGTTTACAGCTCCGTCCTCCGTGCTGGAATAAATATACCAGAGAGGGCAGGGCACAGTGGCTCATGCCTGTAATCCCAGCACTCTGAGAGGCCGAGGTGGGTGGATCACCCAAGTTCGAGACCAGCCCGGCCAACGTGGTGGAACCCTGTCTCTACTAAAAATAAAAAAAAATTTAAAAATTAGCTCAGTGTGGTGGTGCACACCTGTGATAGCAGCTACTTGGGAGGCTGAGGTAGGAGAATCGCTTGAAACCAGGAGGCAGAGGTTGTAGTGTGAACTCCAGCCTGGGCAACAGAGCAAGACTCCATCTCAAAGAAAAACACCAAATACATATACCAGAGAAACTCACTTGGCAGCATCTTAATAAATAAGAGCAGTGTACACCGAGGACACTTTAATACCTAAGAGGTTCACTTAAGCCCTAACATAATGCTGAGAAATAGGTACTATGATCTCAATTTTTGGTGAAAACTGAGGCTGAGAAGTAGTAAATGAATTTACCCAAAGCTTTTATTACTAAGAATATAAAGTCAGTGTGCTTTGCACTATGGCAAAGAACACTCAAATCATCAGTCAGATTTAATGTGGGGCCAGGACAAGAAAATCTCCTAAATACACGGGTCCTTCCACTGAGCGATTATAAATGCTTCCCAATTATGCCTTCCATAACAGGTGGGCAAGTCAAGGGGAAGAAAAGGAAACCTGAGTTAACTACGTTTACAATATTCCTGGCATGTTAGTCTTTCTTGATATCCGCAAGGTGAGCATTTTTTCCAAATAAGAGACTCTCTGTAAGCCGCACATACCAGAGTGATGGCGTGAGACAGGGAACATCTCAGCATGTAGCCCGTCTGCCTGAACTCAACACCAGACACGTCATCCTCCAGCACTTCCACCTCCAGGCTCTTGTTCTTCCAGCACCAATCCTCATGCATGATGCTTACTGCAAAAGCAAACACCAAAAACAGACACATGGGTGTGGAGCACACCACCCCTCTGCACGCCAGCACAAACAATTATCATGAATTAACTAATTTTAAAAACCGGGTATGTAGACATAAAGACAAAAATATATACATACATATATTTATAAGTAGTAGTGCTTAGAATAAATGACTGCTAAAGAAAACCAGGAGCCGAGCGTGGTGGCCCACACCTATAATCCCAGCACTTTGGGAGCCCGAGGCAGGCAGACAGCTTGAGGCCAGGAGTTCAAGACCAGCTTGACCAACATGGCAAAACCCCATCTCTACTAAAAATACAAAAATTAGCCAGGAATGGTGGCGCACGCCTGTAATCCCAGCTACTCGGGAGGCTGAGGCGAGAATCTCCTGCACCCAGAAAGCAGAGAGGCTGTAGTAAGCCAGGATCGCACAACCACACTCCAGCCTGGGTGACAGAGAGAGGCTCCATTTCAAAAAAAAAAGAAAGAAAGGAAAACTAGAACCAATGTCCATTACATCATCAAGAAAGAAATCCAATGGGGCCTGTAAGATCAGACTGCAAATAAGGCATTCGGGAATCCACAGATTCTTCTCTAACTCTCTCCAGCTTTGTAGGCCACACGCTTTGTTGGTTTCAACCACTTGACTCAGCCGCTGTTACAGGTGAACGGCCAGAGAGAATCCATAAACAAACGGGCTAGGCTGGGTTCGAAGAAAACTATCTTATAAAAACAGGCAGGCAGTTTTTGTAGTCTGCGAAGCCCTGCTGTAACAGAAAATATTAATATAATTCCAGAAACAGCAGTCCATTTTATAAGCTGCCCACTGCCAGTAGCTCCAAGCCAATTTCTGAAAAAGCAGAAATACAAGCAAGAAGCGGCTTCTTGAGCTGGGCAGGGAAAAGGGAACTAACATTTGTGGGCACCTGTTACTTAGCCGGCTCTCTGCCTAAGGGACTTTATAAATTTTACTTCATTTAGTCTTATGTTCTGCAGAAAGGTTCAATTACATCTATTTTACAGATGGGAAAACTGAGTTTCGGGGAGCTCCAGTACCTTGCCATGTTCAGTATTCAGCACCAGTACTGGTGCTAAGTTAGTAGAACACATCAGTGGAACTATTTCATACTCCTTTTTCTGGCCTTCAGAAACAAAATGCTGTACATTGGGGCACCCTCCCTAAACAGAAGCAACCAGTGGGCTGTGCTGACAAGGTGGCAGTCAGTTCAGAGCCTAGACTCCTCCAGGTTTGTCCAATGCTAAATAATGCACAGTCAAGGCCATGAGGCAAAGACTTAAACCAGGAAAGGTACATGGTCATAATACAATCTGAGACCTGGGTCTTAGAAAGCTTACAAAGACAAGAAGTGTGTGAGGGCCATAGGATGTTGCATTCCAGTTCTTACTTTTGTATCTTCCTGGGAGCACGCTGTCAAAGGTGAAAGTCATGGAGTTGACCTTGCCGGAGAGCTGGAGGCTCCGCTTCTCACCCTGGCGGCTCAGTGACTGCAGAGTCACCAGTAGGTCACCGCAAGTATCTGCAGGAGAAAGAAGGAGGGCCCCATGTGACCCAGCCCAGGTTCGAATCCTAAGCCTATGTAATAGCTTCTTGCTACTGCTGAGCTCCTAAGAGGCAGTGGTGGGAGGCCTTCTTTCAAGCTAATTGTGTCGACTTGACTCCAAAAAGCCTCCCGCCATGTCGGTAATCAGTAGCAGACAAGGAAGGCCCCGACAGTGAAAGCAGCCCCCTCATTCGTTGAACACTCCTATGTGAGCCAGAGAAGACAAGAAAAGGAAAGCAACTTTCATAGAGCACCTATGTGGAAGGCAAGATGAAATGGGGCAGGAACATTCATGGAGCACCAGTAAGAGCCAGAGAAAAGCGCAGGAAGTGGCGAAACAGTCGTGGAGTGACCATTTAAACCAGGCACAGAACTCAGCCCTCTAGCATGATGATAATATTAATAAAGACAGCAAAGATTTACACGGCTTTCTGTGTGCCAGGCACTACTCAAAAGGCTAAACATGCTCTAACTCATTAGATCCTCACGACCCTGTGAGGCTGTACTATTACTAGCTCCATATCACAGATGAAGAACTCAAAAGCAGAGAGGTTAAGTAATTTGCCCCAGGTCACACATACAGGGGTGAAAAGCCCAAGGAGTCTGGTTTGAGTCTGCGCCCTAGCCACTGTGCTGCACTCCCTCTTGACATGAACACACTGAAGCCTCATTAAAAACCTTAAGAGAGGTAGCATTCCCATTTTAAAGATGAAAAACTGAGGCTGGACAAGTAAAATGCAGTCTCACAGCTAGTAAGACACTGAGCCAGGAATGAAAACTGGGCCTGATTCCATCCTCTCTGCACAGTCAGAGAGGGGAAAAAAGAAACCTATGTGCTCCACTGGGAGCCAAAGCAGAAATACTCCAAGAGAATGTTCATAGTGATTCCCATGGCAATTATTCAGACAGAACTACGTGCAATAAGGACACTCAGAAGCCACTCTCCAGGAACAGGGTCTACTTTTATCTTCAATGTCCCTAATGAGGAAAAGTTTCCCAAGATCCCACCCCTACCTGCTGACTTCTTTGAAACTAGGTATTCTTGCTTTCCAGTGATATCTTACCCAAACAAGAGACTTTCCCAGAAACTGATGCCAAAAACTGTACAAAGGCCACATCCATCACAGGCCTGTCGGTCACAGTAAGAGGAAACGTCTGGGGTTTCAATGTCAGCCCTGCTCTGGTCTCTGCCTCAGGAACTATCACCTGCAAAAACATGGATGAAATGTTAGAGGCTGTATGCGGCAAGGTGGGGAGGTCTTCACCTTGACCTACGGGTCACCAGAACATTCATTTGGGTCCAAGGCTAAAGAGATTTTGAAGGCCAAAGGTTCATTTCCAGGCCAATTTTACAATCACAACGAATCCACAAATAACATATGTGAAGTAAACACGGTTCTACCCAGATGAAAAATTAGCCTCAACAGACCCACGTGTCTGCACAAAAGTCTATCTGGCCTAATTCCCCACAGAGGCACACAAAGGTAACATGTCTCACTTATATACTGGAAATCAAACCACATCCCAGTCACTTTTCCTGGCTTCAGACTATGTGGATGACACTGGTGGAATTAAGTCCTTTTCTTCTTCCTTTTGTTCTGTATGCCTTTCACGGCTAAGAGGAACAGGCAAAGGGAGCAGCAGTCAACTCTTTCACACCAGTCAAGATGACACTGCCCTTCCTTGGAAAAGTCCATCATGCTTCCAAAAGGGCTTTTAAAGGCTTGTCAATGTGGACATCTTTGCAAGAAGCCAACTACCATTTAATAAAGGCAGCTGTCAACTCACACACCATGTTATTCTGTGGAAGCAGGGAGAACGTAATCTCCTTCCCTGTTTCCCACAGAGGGAGGGACCCCACTCTGCCCTAGAGGAGAGCAGAGTCTAGCAGGGAACCTTCCCGGCCCTCTCCCTTTGTGTTATTTGCTCTTCCACAGGGAGGAAGGGCAGCTGCTGATTTGATAGGTAAGAGCCCACAGAAACAGTCTCTCCCCCAGGGCAGGGCCACTGCACTCAAAGGCATGATGGGCTGACCTCTGCTCTGCCTGTCTCTTGCTTGCTTGGGCCAGCTGTGGCTTGGGCTTTCACTATGGTGATCAGACTAAGGCCAGAGCATCTTCCCTTCTCGGCCTGCTTGAACAGATAAGTCGCATGGTGCCTGCCCAGCCATCTTCAAGTCAGGGCAAAGCAGGAAACGGGAGGCTCCATTTTGGCCTGGGGTCCTAGAAGCCATGCACTGTGGCCACTTTTGAGCTCCCATTAATAGAGTTCATTTTTGGTCTCCTGGACTCATCAATATTCCACAGCAGCCAGAAGCCTGAAGGTGGAGGAGTTGACTGGCAGCCTGATACTAACCTAATAAACACCATGACTGGAAAAGAGAGAGGCATATGGCACTATTTTTTCGCTGGATGCCTATCTGGCCCTATTCTACTGGTGCAGGATTGTAAAAACTTAAAAACAAGTAGTTGGAAACTGGAATGCTCCATTCTAGCTAATAACCCTTCTAAAAATCACTGCTTTTTCTCAAAACATTTTAAATCTAAAACAACACATCGCACCTGAACTTTATAAGTCCCTGGTTTTGCTTTAAAACAAAATGATCCATGAGCATCCGTCTCCACGGTGACCAAAGACTTGTCCTTGTCTTGAGATGATAGGACAACTTTGTATTTACTCATCTGCTTGACAGTGTCGGGGAAGCGAATGATTGATATCTGACCACAGACACTGAACCTGCAAAGAGAAGACCGTTCATTCCAGCATGAGGACTCAATTATAACAGGAAAGGCTCTTATCAACCAAAAAAGATGTAGCTCTCTCCCAGCCCTTGTTCCTAAGAATAGTTTAATCTTAATGAAGAGACAGAATGCAGTCCAAATGATTCTGGTTTTAAAAAGCAACCTTCATTCTGGTTTTTAAAAAACACATCCTTCAGGAGGAAGACTGGACCTCTTTCTACAGAGCAGGGGCCCGTAGTGGGGGAGTCTGTGTGTTCTGGGTGACATCTGGCAATCCCCCCCACTGCAGAAGCAATTTTAAGAAAATGTGCAGATAATAAAAACGTTTCAGGTAATTGGATCGTTGACAGTGGAGCGGCCTTGGACTGTGAATGTGGGCTAACCCTTAAAAGCAAAAGCTCTAAGCTGTGTAAGAAACTGTGGCATTAACCAGGCCATCAAATAAGGCAGGATTATCACAGACGCCTTCCTGGTTTGTGATTTTATATAATGCATAGATGAAAGCAAACTGAGACACTGGAACAGAAAAGGTAATTAAGTTAAAAAATGCAAAGCTAAAATTGAACTCCTTGGGAGGCAGAACCCACAAACATAACTTCTAACTGAAAAGCCCTATTAAGGTAATGACGCAGATTTCAGATTCTACTTGAGGAGTGAGGTGGGTGGTGCAAGGCATCCCTGGAAAAATTCGTGAAAGGCACTTCTACAAAGACCATCATCTCTGGAGTGCTGGTCTTCATTTCTGAAGCAATTGGTGTGTCACAGTGTAATAGTACATCCTAGCTGGAGGCCACAGTTGTTTTCTCAACTGTTCATCTTCGAGAACCTTCGAGAATCATTTTACATGAAAGTTAGTTACTTTTGACGTAAAGATAATAAAGAATGCTGGATACTGACAATTAGGGGTACATTAAATGTTGGAACTACCACTCAGCCTCAAATAAAAAACAGTGGAAAACAATGAAACAGTGGAAGATTATGTATGTGAAATCTAGGAATAATGAAAATCAGTCATTTCTTCAGAGTATGATATGCAAGCCAAAAAAAAGGTTTTTACACTCTTAATGGTTAAAAGAAAAAAAATCAAAAGAAGGATAATACTTCATGACATGTAAAAATTGGATGAAATGTAAATTTCGGTGTCTAAAAACGTAGTTTAGTTGCGCTCTGCCCATTCATTTACAAATTGTCTATCTCAGCTGTTGTCTTAGAGACCATATGGACCATGAAGCCTAAAATATTTATTCTCTGGCTCACCACAGAAAAAGTGTCCCAATCCCTGACCTAGAATGTGCATTCTGGTTCTCACATTCCCCTACTGTGAACTTTCAGAATAAAAGGATGGGATACGAACACTGAGAGAACCATTCCTAAGGACCTTTCATAGTCTCTGGATTTGTGTACCTGTCAGGGGACACACCACCTTGTCTATTTCCTACCAAATCTCTTTGCCTCCTTAAGTTGTAAATATTTGAACCATAAGATCTGTTTTGGCTCATATTGCTATTAAAAAGAAGTGCCTATTTTCACTAAACCTCAAACCTATACTGGCTTAGTTTGGAAAAATAAAGCAAAAGGGTGGTAGAAGATGGCTCCATTATACTGAAGCCCTTAACAATTGATTTGTAGCAATAAATTCTTTCAGCAGGGTTTAATATATATATGTTCAGAAACTGGTAATCTTGGTGAATATTGAGATAACTATTTTCACAGTCATTTGGACAGAAATCAAAGAGTTTGTTTTTAAAATAAATTAAGTAATTTTTTTTTTTTTTTTTTTTTTTTTTTGGTAAAGGAAGACTAGGCATGGTGGCTTAGCCTGTAATCCTAGCACTTGGGGAGGCAGAGGCGGTTGGGTGACTTGAGGTCAGGAGTTCAAGGCCAACCTGGCCAACATGGCAAAACCCCTTCTCTACTAAAAAATATAAAAATTTTTCAGTTGTGGTAGCTTGTGCCTGTAATCCTAGCTACTCAGGAGGCTGAGGCAGGAGAATCACTTAAACCCGAGAGGCAGAGGCTGCAGTGAGCCGAGATGATGCCACCGTACTCTAGCCTGGGTGACAGAGTGAGACTCTGCCTCAAAAAAAAAATAAAAAGGAAGAGAAATATTAAGAAATATCAGTGTGCCAAAAAGGCAAATGTACTATGTTGACCAAAAAAAAAAGATAGATTTTCCAAAACTGCTCAATGCTGTTTTTCTTTCTTTGACCCAAATACTCTACTTTAAAGGAGAAAATAAATATATTTCCTCCATCTCTGTGAACAGCACCTCCTCCACCCACCCAGTGGCTCAAATAAGAAACCTGAAACCTCAACAGCACAGGACTGTGCTGTTTTCTCTATATGACCTACCAAATCCATCTATTCCTGGCTCCCTCCCTGCCACCCCCCTGGGCCCAGCCACCACCGTATCTCCTCCGGACAACTGCCACCGCCTCCTATCTGGTCCTTCTGTTCACACCATGGCTTCCCTCCAATCCATTCTCCACACAGCAGCCAGGAAGAAAAACAAACTTTCAAAGTGCCATGATCCCTATCACTCCCTTGCCAACTGAAAACTCTTAACAGGTTTCCACTGAATTAGGGAGCAAAGCCCAATCCCAAAGCAGGGCTATAAGGCCCCAGAGCTCCCTGACCTCCCCCACCTCCTCCAGCTGCACAGACTGCCTTTCAGGTCCTTCCTATCCTGTCCAGGCCTCTGAGCACACTGCTCCTCTGCTAAGGAAGGTCTCTATTTAGCTAACTTTTAGTCTTCACTAAGGACTCTGCAACCCAGAGAGCCTTGCAGAGCACCCAGTCTAAATCATGTCTTCTTGCAATTCCCTCGTCTCTTCCCTGCACACTACTTGCCATAATTTAGCATCACAAATGTATTTGTCTATTTTTTTAATCTTTGTTTTTTTGGGATGGAGTCTCGCTCTGTCATCCAGGTTGGAGTGCAGTGGCATCATCTTGGCTCACTGAAACCTCCACCTCCCTGGTTCAAGCAATTCCCCTGCCTCAGCCTCCCAAGTAGCTGGGATTACAGGCACACACCACCACAACCAGTTAATTTTTTTGTATTTTAATAGAGATGGAGTGTTACCATGTTGGCCAGACTGGTCTCGAACTCCTGACCTCAGGCAATCTGCCCACCTTGGCCTCCCAAAGTGATGGGATTACAGGCTTGAGCCACTGCGCCTGGCCTTAAAATATTATTAATCTTATTTTATTTTTTAGACCAGGTTATGAGACTAGGTAATTTTTGTATTTTTGGTAGAGGTAGTGTTTTGCCAAGTTGCCCAGGCTGGTCTCAAACTCCAGGCTTAAACTCCACCTCTGCCTCCCAAAGTGTTGGGATAGATTACAGGCATGAGCCACCATGCCTGGCCACACATGTATTTGTCTTAAGTCTGTCTGCCTGGTAGGGTGAAAGCCCTATCTCTGGAATGTTAGCATGATTAATTATTAGATACCAAGCATTTCTCAGTGTCTCACCTACAGTAGTTGCGCAAAGTGTTTCTGGAAGCGGGGTAGGACTTATAACCAAGAATTACTTTCTGAGGGTGATTTGCTTCCTTGTCTTCCATTCCCCACTGGACTCCTTGACCTCCATCTGTTTACAGAAAAGGGTCACTGCGGTCTCCTCAGTGATCAAGCCAGCAGACTGGGCTCCGCTCCCTGGACCTCCTTGTCAGGCACTACCTCGTACCCCAAATTTACTTTCTTAGCTTCTATGATCTCCCCCTTGCGCCACCTGGTACTCTGTTTTTAGCCTACTGTTTTTCTAATGCTACTTGTACATACATATTTGAGATCCTGCCTGCCACCTGCAGCCGAATCGTCAGGATTTACAATCCATGTAAGCACCTATTGAAGAGCTCCACCTAGTGGTCCTACAGACTGATGTGCCCAAAACTGAATCGTCGTCACCTAATGGGCTCCTCTTTCTGTCCCCAGCCATCACACCTCTCAAGCTGGGCACCCCAAATATCTCCACCAGTTTGTCCCTGACTTCCCTATAAGAGAAGCCTTTGTCGTCTCTGCTTTCAGACCTCCTGTGCCCAAGTCCTGTCCCCTTCAAACCCACTCTCCTCCCTGCCATTGTTTTCAGAATGCCCTATCTTGATGCTCAAAACCACTCATGGCTCCTTGGCCCCAGGAGGAGCAAGCCCCTAGGCCCCGGTGGGGCTGTCCTCATCACCTCCTTCACCTGCCAGCACATTCTGCTCCAGCAGCACCCAGCTTCACACCACAGCCACCTGGTGCTGCTGTGAGGCTGCCTGACTTGGCTCATGCTGCGCTTCTCCCAAGCAGACCCTGAGCTCTCCTTCTAAGCTACTGTTCTGTGAGCAACTGTGATGTCTAAAGCTGTTCAGCAAGTTACACGCAGGTGGATCTGGGATCCGACTCCAAAGCCCAAGTTTCTTGGCTCTACACAATTTTGCTTCAGATGATGGAAAACCACAGGAATTCAGCCAAAAGATGTCCCCGCCGGTGCTTACAGTATAATGAGTAACTATAAGCAGGAAGAACTACACCAACGACCTGAAGCATCTTCCAATAAGCTTTCTCAACCAACAATACCATCTTCCAAAGTTCTCAAAATTAAGCAAAGAGGGGTCCCATGAAAGATCAGACGTGAAAGACCTTTTTTTAGTTTAACAAGCCCATTTTAACTTGAAGCAAGGGACTTTTCATTAAGCATTCGACGTGTCCGTACCTTCAGTTTATAAGATTTAGAACTAATCTTACTTGGCCGGGCACAGTAGCTCACACTTGAAATCCCAGAACTTTGGGAGGCCGAGGTGGGCCGATCACCTGAAATTAGGAATTGAGACTAGCCTGGCCAACATATAGTGAAACCCTGTCTCTACTAAAAAATCTAAAAATTACCTGGGCGTAGTGGGGCATGCCTGTACTGTCAGCTACTTGGGAAGCTGAGGCAGGAGAATCGCTTGGACCTGAGAGGCAGAGGTTGCAGTGAGCTGAGATGGCACCACTGAACTACAGCCTGGGTGACAGGGTAAGACTCCATCTCAAAAAAAAAAAAAGGCAGAAAGAAAGAACTACTCTTTCCTAAGTCCTTAAGCTCAGCAAAGACACACAATCAGATCACAGGTCATTTTCTTCTCCACCAGCCGCCAGCATAAACACTGGTGCTTCCAAATCCACATGATAAGCTTACCCTGTTGCAATAATGTCAGCCAGCTGAGGTGTGTTCGGTGCAATTTTGATGGTGACTGTTTCAAAGTAGAGGTGCTCTTTCTGAGCATGGATGGTGTATGTCCCTGTGGTTATGTTCTCCAGGCGGAATGAGCCATCAGCTTTTGTTTTGACTATAAAACAAAAACACACGAAGAAAAGATAAGCCAAGAACAACTGTACTTATATGTACACCAGAGTACTTGAGACCAAAAGCTGCCATGTTTCCATACAGTCATCAGTTCCTTTCCATTTCCCTCTGTGATCCAAAAGAGCACTGGTCCTCAGCCCAAGGCTGGTGTGCCAGCCCACCTTTGATTTGGTTATTCAGGGTGACTACTGCCTCTGAAACACCATCTCCTTCTGGTCCGTTCAAGACCCTCCCGGTGACGGAGAACCCCATGACGTGGAACACGGGCTAGAAAACAAAGAACAAAGAAGAAGGAGCTCGAAGGTGCTCCTGTGCCAGAGCCACAAAGCCTCCTTCTGCTGCACCAGCCATCACCTACCATGTCTGCCCTTGCTGCCCACCTCCCGACCCCCAGACCCCCGGTGCTGTGTGCCAGCTGGGGTACCTCTCATTTTACCCACATCTGTCTTCTCTGTTGTGTTCCCAACACACTGCTGTGTCAAACGGCAGAACAGAAAAGGTCTAGAGGCTTGCTTCCCAAGTTAAAAGGTCACTGACTCAAGATTCTAAATGCCCCACACCCTCGCCCCTGTGCCGTCTCCTCCCCTCCAGATGCCCCCATTTTGGTGAACCACGTCTTCCTCCAGTCTTCCTCGCATACCCCAGCATCACTTTGGATGCCCGCTCCCTGCTTCTCCAACATCTATCAGTCCTGTGGTTTCCACCTCTGCAAAGTCTCACACGCCCCCCCCTATCTTTCCTTTGGGTCCTTATAAAATCCACTTAGGCCGGGCACAATGGCTCATGCCTGTAATCTCAGAACTTTGGGAGGCCGAGGCAGGTGGATCACTTGAGGTCAGGAGTTCAAGACCAGCCTGGCCAACATGATGAAATGTGTCTCTACTAAAAACAAAAAACTAGCCAGGCGTGGTGTAAGGCACCAGTAATCCCAGTTACTGGGGAGGCTGAGGCAGGAGTATCACTTGAACTTGTCAGGCAGAGATTGCAGTAAGCCAAGATTGTACCAGCTTGTGCGACACAGTGAGACTGTCTCAAAAAAAAGAAAAGAAAAAAGAAAGCAAGAAATCCACCTAGACCACCCTCCTCCACCCCCATCACTGACTCTCACATGCTCCCAGGCTCCATGTGTCTGTGTCTGTGCCCCACTTGCCTGTGAGCAGCACACCTGTGCTTTCTCTTAAGTCAATGAGTTCCAGCCCTGATCCATGCATCCCCAAGGTCACCACAGCTAACCTCTTTAGTACCTTCATCAAACTTACCAGTATCTCAAATGTCTGTTTGATTTCTTAGTTGTCTCCCTCCCACTAGCATGGCACCTTAGGAAGACAGGGATCTTTTCTGTCTTAGTCATCTGGTACACGGCAGGCGCTCAGTAACTGACTCCTGAATCAATGTGTGCATGCACATGTGCAACAGCATTTGAGATGAAGCTTTTACTAATTAAATCACTTCCTTTTTAGGCGGGGAGCCTTCCTTTTTTTTCTTTTTTTCAGCAAATGGTTTCTTAGTGATGGTCTCACATGACAGGTTGCCCTTCTTGATCTTTCCAAAAAGATATGTTTCGTTCCATCCATTACCTACTTATTAATTCACATATGTACTCAACAAATATTTTTACTGGGCACCTATACTAGATCACATGGCAGGAAAACAGTAAAGAATAAGACACTCACGGTTCCTGACCTCAGGGAACTTACAGGGCCCCATTTCCTGAAACACCATTCATCATTTTCAAAATTTCTATCTGGCTGTGATCTGGGAATATCTCTGTCTGCTCACCTGGCCCCATCCTTCTCTGTGTGCTGTGTAAAGCAAAGCAAAGGCTTCATCTTCTCACCCTTCTCTTCCCCCTCCAGTGTACCGCAGAACAGTCAAACACTCTACTGAATCTTAAAAAGCAGAGTCTGCACCCCACTGTGCATATGACCCAAAAGCCCACTCCTGCCAGTTTAAGCTATTTTAACACAGTACTTTCAAATGCATTATTAAAAGAAAACGATTAAAATATAATTTTTTCAATGACTCTAACATTGGGTGGTCCACTTAGGAGAGGCTGTTATTTTCTTCTGGGATTTGCTCTAGCTAGGCAATTTTCTACAGTAACCATTTTCCACTCCTGTAACTAAAGGAGACACAAGTGAGATGAAAGATACATTTACCACCTATGTGAGCGTCGAGGGAGTTTATCAAGCCACCTATCACACTGCTCATTCCCAGCACCACGGTCTGAGCTCTGCCAGTTCTCATCCGGTTGACAGCCATGGCATCCCAAACAGTCCCCCACTTCCACCCTGACACCCTGCAAACTCTCCTCAATACAGAAGCCGGAAGGATCACACTGCTCCTCTGCTAGGAACCTTCCAGTGGCACCAATTCTCACCCAGAGTTATAGGCAGAGTGGCCCACCAGGCCCTGCACAATCTGCCCCATCACCTCCTCGTTCCTTGCTCATTCCCTCCACTCCAGCCACCTGGCCTCCTGGGGGTGCCCCAAACCCTTCAGCACACTCCTGCCTCAGGATCTTTGCACATGACATTCCTTCAATCTCACACACTCTTCCTGCAGGAGTGAAGTATAGTTCACTTGCTCTTTCCCTTCAGGTTGTTACTCAAATGTCACCTTCACAGGGAGGACTGGAGGACTTCCCAAAAACACCCTATGTACAACGGCAAACCCTGTCGCCACCCTGAAACTGTATGCTCTCCTTTCTTCCTTTATTTTTCTAAAGAACACTTATCACCTTCTACTGTACTTTCTAACTTATTCATCTATACATGTATTGACCCTTCCCGTCATTAGAACATGAGGTCTAGCCAGGCGCAGTGGCTCACGCCTGTAATCCCAACACTTTGGGAAGCCGAGGCAGTCAAATCACTTGAATCCAGGAATTACAGAACAGCATGGGCAACATCTCTACAAAAAATACAAAAATTAGCTGGGCATGGTGGCACACGCCTGTGGTCCCAGCTACTCAAGAGGCTAAGGTAAGAGGATCACTTGAGCCCAGCAGGCAGATGTTGCAATGAGCTAAGATCGTACCACTCCACCCCAGCCTGAGCCACACAGTGAGACCCTGTCTCAAAAAAAAAAAAAATGAGATTCACACGGACAAGAATTTTTGCCTCTTTGGTCACTGCTATATCCCCAGTCCTAGAATCTGGAATGATGACTGAAATGTATATCACTGGAACTCAATAAATATATTTCACTGAATGAGTAGATTTAACTAGGAATCCAGATCTCTACCATAAGGACATCATGCCTAAGAATATAATACCAGATTGCACTTTTTCCCACAGCCCTTCCAGATAAAACAATTGATTTTTTTTTAAAGCATGTCTGCAACACCTGTGCCTAGGGATGGGAACTCAAACACCTGTCCCTCCAGAAGATAGGAAAGCCTTACCTCGATTTTCAGGCTGTCATGCTCCACTGTAAAGTCGAGTCTGGAAGGCGCCACATCAAAGGTAATTCTCTCCCCGCGATAGAATGGAATCTGGAAGAAAGAGTCTGCTAATTACTAAGAACCACTAACATGATCAATCATCAATATTAATAATCAATCCAGCAGCCCACAGATGACAAGGGTTCAAGACAGGCTAAGAGCAACATTCATCATAACTGTTGCAGATTTGAGAAGAGGAAGCCTGGCCCTTTTTGTAGCTATTACTAAGGAGTGAACGTCTCATCTTAAGTTACTGCTTAACAGCGTGTTCAGAGAACTGCAGGCCAACCATCTGCTCCTTTAACACCCAAACAGCATTGGCTCTTACTTTGCCATGAGAGTCCCAGACATCAACAGAACGGGAATCTGCTTCACTCACCACAGTGTAGCCCCCACTTGGCAAGGAATAGAAGGAGAAGGAGCCGTCTTCTCTGGAGACAGTGTAGCACAAATATACCAGACTCTCATCTTGGAGCTGGAACCCAGGCACTGGTGAGACACTGCAGCCCAGGACATCCTATGCCAGGAAAACAAAAGATGAGACTTCCTTTTTCATTTACATGTTCTAATTACCATCAATTAGCCACATCATAGGAAAGTTTTTCTAAGTTTCATGTCAATATGTGTATTTCTGAAATCTAAGACACAGTAATACAGGTAAAAAGAACAAAAATCTTCGCATTCAAGTTGTAAAGTTAAAAACTGGCACAGTCTTGTTGGGGAAAAAAAGACATGACTGTCCTTCCTTATGATGGGTCACCATTCTCCAAATAAGAAAACGGAGGCTCAGGAGGGTAATGATGACCAGCCAGGGGTCGCACAGCTAAGAAGAGGCATTTGTTTAGACCTGGAATTTGTTTGAACCCACGTCTGATTTCAAAGCCTGTGTACTTTCCATCACATACCACTGCCTCCCAGTGTAGATGTGCAATATTTTATGCGCCAACAGAGACACATGGTATTCCTGAAATCTTTTTTTTTTTTTTTTTTTTGAAACAGAATCTGACTCTGTCACCCAGGCTGGAATACAGTGGCATGGTATCAGCTCACTGCAACCTCCACCTTCCGAGTTCAAGCGATTCTATTGCCTCAGCCTCCCTCGCAGCTGTGACTATAGGCATGTGCCAACACACCCAGCTAATTTTTTTTTTTTTTTTTGTATCTTTAGTAGAGACGGGGTTTCACCATGTTGACCAGGCTGGTCTCAAATTCCTGACCTCAAGTGATCCGCCTACCTCAGCGTCCCAAAGTGCTGGGATTACAGGAGTGAGCCAACACCCCGGCCTGAGACACACGATATTCTTAAGTATTAAAATGATAAATCAACCCAGATGTGCATTTTTTAACCAGTATGTTCCAGTCCGTAATCCTCCACCTACCCTTCATACCATTTCTTTTGTTCTTTTCTTTGCTTACCTCTTTAGTTACTAAAGAAGAAAAGAGAAGAAACTTCACCCCTTTCATGGGCTCCCCATCACTTCGGACAGAGCCAGACACATTATAGCCAGCAACTATGAGGGGACTGGCCGCATTGGCATTTGAGTTGGTTACACGCACTGTGGTGCTTGCCTGTAACAGAAAAAGATTTTAACTTGAAAAAAAAAAAACACTTGCCAAGTGTCTAACAACATGAGGACATGATGAAGCTAAAGTATTAACTGGGAAACATAATCTATAAAATTGCTTATTCGGTATAATCACTATTTTTTTTTTTTTTTTTTTTTGAGACAGAGTCTAGCTCTGTCACCCAGGCCTGAATGCAGTGGCATAACCTTGGCTCACTGCAACCTCTGCCTTCTGGGTTCCAGCGATTCTCCTGCCTCAGCCTCCCAAGTAGCGGATTACAAACACCCGCCACCACATCCAGTTAATTTTTGTACTTTTAGTAGAGATAGGGTTTCACCATGTGGGCCAGGTTCATCTCAAACTCCCAACCTCGGGTGACTCCCCCTCAGGCTCCCAGAGTGCTGGGGTGAGCCACCATACCAGGCCAATCATTATTTTTTAATGCCCAAAATGAAGCGAAAGGAAATGTGACAAAATGTAAATACTGATACGGTGGTATTTTTACTTGTATACTTTTCCATCTTCCCAAATTTCTAACTTTGTTTCCACTGCTTTATAGTCCTCTATATGTTCCAATTTTTTTAAAGAGCATATTTTGCTCTTTTTTTTTTTTCTATGTTGAATGATAGTGTTAACTGAAGATTAGCCTAAAGCTGCCTCCTTGTATGTTTTAAGTTTGGCCTAAAGGTTTCTGTATATATAGTGCCAAGTCTCAGCCAATTCCAACAGCCATCCTTCAACCACTCACAGGCGGCAAACTGTTCAAACCGCGTGCAAGTAAGAAAAACGTGCAGCTGTAACCAGTCCAACTGCTTCTGTACCTCACTTCCGCTTTCCGTCCGTCACTTTCTTTTTTTCTGTCCATAAACCCTTTCCAATCAGCAACAGTGCCACAGTCGCTGTAAACCTATTCTGGCTCAGGAGGCTGCCTGACAAACTGTTCTGTGCTCAATTAAACTCTGTTTAATTTGTGTTCAGTTGTTCTTTTCACAATATGTGTATGTTTTAAACATTTTTGTTAAAGTACAATTTACAAAGAGAAAACTGCATGTATTCTAAGCATACAGCACAGGGCTTGTCACAAACTGGGCACCGGTCACCCAACAGAATAGCACCAGCACCCCAGAAATGCTCCTCACACTTGCTTACGGTCACTAACCCCCCAGGAAGATAAACATAATCCTGACTTCTAACAACATGCTTTACTTTAAAATCCCAATTTCATATTAATACCCTCAGATTCTTCTAAGTAACATAAAATGTAAACCTTAAAATCTCTTCTATTTATAAATGTGTAAGCCCTTTCATTTTGAATAAAAAAAAATTTTTGGCCGGGCACAGTGGCTCATGAGAGATCGAGACCATCCCGGTCAACATGGTGAAACCCCGCCTCTACTAAAAATACAAAAATTTGGCTGGGCATGGTGACATGTGCCTGTAATCCCAGCTACTCGGGAGGCTGAGGCAGGAGAATTGCCTGAACCCAGGAGGCGTAGGTTGTGGTGAGCCGAGATCGCGCCATTGCACTCCAGCCTGGGTAACAAGAGCGAGACTCCGTCTCAAAAAAAAAAAAAAAAAAATTTTTTTTTTGAGACGGAGTCTCACTCTGCTGCCAGATCTGGAGTGCAGTGGCACAATCTTGGCTCACTGCAACCTCCACCTCCTGGGTTCAAGCTGGGTTCAAGCGATTCTTCTGCCTCGGCCTCCCGAGTAGATGGGATTACAGGCACATGTCACCATGCCAGATAATTTTTTGTATTTTTAGTATTGACAGGGTTTCACCGTGTTGGCCAGGCTTGTCTCAAACTCCTGACCTCAAGGGATCCACCAACCTCGGCCTCCCAAAGTGCTGGGATCACGGGCATGAGCCACCACGCCAAGCCTCGAATAAAGTATTTTTAAATGTTGCTCCAGAAAAGAAAAATCCTCAAAACCAAAAGTCATAAATAGTATGAAGAGACATCTAGGTGTGAAACTATCATCAATTATAAATGCATAAAACCTATAGAGTTAAAAAAAAAAAAGATAAAACCTACAGAATAAAAGCTGAAATACTGATTCCAATGATTCCTTAGCAAAAAATAAGACACAGCTTCAGTACCAACACAGAAGCTAATATGTCAAGATGCTCCTTAAGACTTATTTTAATTTGGTCCTCACACTATTTTGATCTTCATCCTTTTTTGATCTTTGACTATAAACTATTTCAGTCAAACAAAAAGAAAATATACTAAAGAACACTTACATACCTTCTAATCAGCTAAAGAAATTTAAAAAGTAGAAATACAATTAAAGATCCTGGCGTACCCTCAAATCCCCTTCCTCCCTCTTTCTCTAGAAGTCAGAATCATTTTGAACAGTGGTTGCTATTCCCATGCATGTCTTCATAATTTTTCTATGTAAGACTGTATCCTCCCCATCTCCACTAAAAATACAAAAATTAGCCAGGCATGGTGGCAGGTGCCTATAATCCCAGCTACTCAGGAGGCCGAGGCAGGAGACTCACTTGAACCTTTGAGGTGAAGGTTGCAATGAACCAAGATCGTGCCATTGCACTCCAGCTTGGGTGACAAGACTGTGTAAAAAAACAAAAAAGACTGTATCCTTAGCCAGGTGCAGTGACACATGCCTGTGTCCCAGCTCCTCGGGAGGCCAAGGTGGAAGGATCGCTTAAGGCCAGGAACTGGAGGCTGCAGTGAGCCATGAGTATGCCAATGCTATATTCTAGCCTGGGCAACACAGCAAGACCCTGTTGCAAAAAAAAAAAAAACAAAACTATCTGTCCGGGCCAGGCGCCCTGTAATCCCACTACTTTGAGAGCCAGAGGGTGGTGGATCATTTGAGGTCAGGAATTCAAGACCAGTCTGGCCAACATGGCAAAACCCCGTCTATCCGAAAAATACAATAATTAGCGGGATATAGTTGTGCACACCTGTAATGCAGCTGGCTCAGGAGGGTGAAGCAGGAGAACAGCTTGGACCCAGGAGGCCGAGGTTGCAATGAGCCAGGATCGCACCACTGCACTCCAGCCTGGGCGAGAGAACGAGACTCAATCGCAAAAAAAAAAAAAAAAAAGACTGTATCCATCAATAATGTTATCACAAGTATTTAAATTATATTTCTTTCAACTCTGTTTTAAAATGTAGTTACATTGATATATGCAGCCCTGGTTTATTCATTATTGCTGACATACAGCAGCCTATTGTATGACGAAACCACAATCCTTTGTTCTCTTAAAAGACATTTAGGTTATTTACAATATTTTGCTATTACAAAGCTGCAATAAAGGTTCTTGCTGCCCAGGATGGAGTGCAGTGGTGCGATCTAGGCTTACCACAACCTCTGCCTCCCAGGTTCAAAGAATTCTCCTGCATCAGCCTCCTGAGTAGCTGGGATTACAGGCATGCACCACCACACCTGCCTAATTTTGTAATTTTAGTAGAGACTGGATTTCTCGATGTTGGTGAGGCCAGTCTCGAACTCCCGACCTCAGGTGATCCACCTGCCTCGCCCTCCCAAAGTGCTGGGATTACAGACGTGAGCCACCTCATCCCGCCAATAAACATTCTTATACATTCTCCCTGGGCACACGTACCACAGTTACTAGAATGTTTAGTATATTTACAGATTTCTGTTTCGGGCAGAAAAAAGTACAACAAATAAATCTCATCAGGGCCTTCTGTTGTTGATTTAGTTTAAAATAGCTACGGTTAATAAAACTGATCTATTTCACAGCAGGAAGACAACATTGTCACCTAAAACTGAAACCAACACAAGCGACATCTGCTACAGTGAGGAGTTACACCTTATACATAACCACCAAACTCATCAACAGCACCAATGTTTCTTCATCTACTCCTGGAAAAACCATCAATTCTTTTCAAAACCTTAACTGAAAACCCCTACCTTCATCCCCGAGCCAGCATATTACTGGCATGGCTACAGACGTAGCCGTCACACTCACCTCTTTCAATGCCCAGGTCGGATGAGTTGCAAGGATTTCATAATCTCCAGGCAGAACTTTAAAAAACGCAAACCTAAGAAATACAAAATAACCATTTAACTTTCTCCAAACAACCTCAGTATTTCTAATTGTTTTTTTTTTTTTTTTTTTTTTTTTTTTTGAGACGGAGTTTCGCCCTTGTTACCCAGGCTGGAGTGCAATGGTGCGATCTCGGCTCACCGCAGTCTCCGCCTCCTGGGCTCAGGCAATTCTCCTGCCTCAGCCTCCTGAGTAGCTGGGATTACAGGCACGCGCCACCATGCCCAGCCAATTTTTTGTATTTTTAGTAGAGACGGGGTTTCACCATGTTGACCAGGATGGTCTTGATCTCTTGACCTTGTGATCCACCCGCCTCGGCCTCCCAAAGTGCTGGGATTACAGGCGTGAGCCACTGCGCCCGGCCCAGTATTTCTAATTTTATGATTAACGTTGGCAGCACAAGAAAACCATGATGGAATTATCACCAACTTGCCATTAGCTGGTTAAATGAGCATGAATGAAATTCAGTCCTTCACTGTACAAATCTGCATCAAAGAGCACTTACTGTGTGCCAGAAGGGGTGTTCCATGTGCTGATGGGAAGGAGGAGCGCTTAGGTCTCCCTTAAACTCAAGGATCTCTGGCATAAAACTAGCCCTTGTAGCAGAGCAGGGACCAGTCACACAACATTTGACTGGGTTTGACAGAGGGGACAGGCACGAACTGACAAGGAGAAGGGAACAGAAGTGTCCAAGGAAACATGTGGGAAGGAAGAAGTGGGGTAAAAAGAACAGAATGGATGCACAGGCTGAGGGGGAGGGGGGCACTGACACAAAATGATGCTAATGACACACAGCAGGGTAAACCATGACAAGCTTTGAATCCCATAAGAAAGCCTTTACAGAAATAGATAAGCTAGTCTGGGTTTTTGCACAAAGCAAGTGAGATGAGAAACCAGCAGTGATGAAAATGACTCTACTAGCCACAGACAGACTAACACTAGAGTGAGCCGAGCTCAGGCTGCATATGTCACCGCCAGTACACTAACATGTTTATCCCTTTAAATTTGTAAGGCAACTGACAATTAGAAGGCTCATTCCAGTGAAACAAACTACAAAAAGCGTTTTATTTCTTCTTCTGCAGTATTTTATTACATCAAATGTCGCCAGTAATAACTGCATAGGGCTTGGAAATCCTGTTACTACCAAGTCTTGGTGAGACTGAGTTTCTGTTTCATTTTCACAACAGCTCATGCTACAAGTCACTATCATTAAGTGCAGATGAAATGGATTCAGAAGGCTATCTTTTCTAGTCAGGTCAACGCCGAACTACAAGCCCAGAAAAAAATTATAGCTCCGTATTCCTGCTACAGACCAGGACTGGAGAGGCACTAATCAAGGAGAAGTAAACGTTATTTCAAAAATGAAAAGCAGTTTCAACAATAACTTTAAAATTGACTTACTGACAGACTCATTATAAACTTCTACTTTGCAATTTAGTCAGTTTGGATATTGACAGAGTTAGTAACGATTTGATCGCTTTCAAAATTATCAGTTTGAACTATTCAGGTATTAATCTTGGCACGTCTGTTAACATTTACAAATACATACATCCATGAAATAAATGCTTTACATCTGACTCAGCAGGGTCAGTTAATCATCACTTCCAACTACAAAACACTTTTGAGATAATAATGATAATGATTTTTTCTAATCCTAACTGAGCTAACCTATTGGAGCTAACACACCAGGCACTTTGAAGTAATATTAATTTCATCTTTCCAGTAACCTTAGCAGGTATGTTCCACAATTATCTTCAGTTACCAAAGCGGAAACAGAGGCATAGAAGGGTTACGTTATAGGTATTAACTATATTACATTATAGGTATTAACTCTTTTTTTCTGTTTGTCTGAGACCGGGTCTTACTCTGCTGCTGAGGCTGGAGTGTAGTGGTACGTGATCATGGTTCACTGTAGCCTCAACCTTTCAGGGTCAAGCAATCCTCCTGCCTCAGTCTCCTAAGTAGCTTGGACCACAGGAGCATGCCACTACGCCCATGTAATTTTTTTCCTCTTTGGGACTCTGCTTCATATAATTTTTTTTTTTTTTTCTTTTGAGACGGAGTTTCGCTCTTGTCACCCAGGCTGGAGTGCAATGGCGCGATCTTGGCTCACCGCAACCTCCGCCTCCTGGGTTCAGGCAATTCTCCTGCCTCAGCCTCCTGAGTAGCTGGGATTACAGGCACGCGCCACCCTGCCCAGCTAATTTTTTGTATTTTCAGTAGAGAAGGGGTTTCACCATGTTGACCAGGATGGTCTCGATCTCTTGACTTCGTGATCCACACACCTCGGCCTCCCAAAGTGCTGGGATTACAGGCTTGAGCCACCGGGCCCAGCCCCATATAATTTTTTAAATTACTTGTAGAGATTCAGTCTCCCTATGTTGTCCAGGCTGGTCTCAAACTCCTGAACTCAAAGTGATCCTCCCACCGTGGCCTCTCAAAGTCCTGGGATTATAGCCACAAGCCAATGTGTCTGGCTGATATTAACTCATATTTAATCATCCCATCAATGCTAGGCAAGAATGGTCAAATGACTTCCATTTCACACATGGGGAACTCAATGCTCTGAGGGGCATGAACTCACCCAAGGTTAAGAAGCTGAATCAGGATCTGAACCCAGGATTCCCTGAATCCAAACCCCCAAACCCAGCTCTGTGACCGCATCACAGCCTGGCTCTAAGGCAAGACTGGGGGACAGGATGCTACTCACTTTCCGCCGGGCTGTGTAACTGTCGACTGGATCTTTGCTTCAGTCCCAGTGTTTCTCAGAGACACCTGAACTCCTGCAGGACCCAGGGGCTGCCCTTTGCTGAGGACCTGCCGTGGAGAAGAAGGTTAGGCCCCACCTAGCAAAGGACCCTCCTCTTAAAGCACTGGCAACTGCTTACAACCCCCAGGTGGAGCCAGGAACCTTCTTTGGGTCAACAATCCCATTGAAAAGATGATATAAATCATGGATATGTTTCCTGGGGATGAGGGAGGAGAGGGAACAGTAAGGTAAAATAAGACTCTACTTCAGTAAATCTAAGACATCGTCAGCTAAAGATTCACCATTATTGGCCTGGCCAGGTGTAGTGGTTCACACCTGTAGTCCCAGCACTTTGTGAGGCCAAGGTGAGCAGACCACCTGAGGTCAGGAGTTTGGGACCAGCTTGGCCAACATGGGGAAACACTGTCTCTACTAAAAATAGAGAAATTAGCTAGGTGTCATGGTGCATGCCTGTAATCCCAGCTACTCAGGAGGCTGAGACAGGAGAATCACTTGAACACAGGAAGTAGAGGTTGCAGTAAGCTGAGATCACACCACTGCACTCCAGGCCACAGAGGGAGACTCCATCTCAAAAAAAATAAGTAAATATAAATAAAAATACAAAAATTAGCGGGTGTGGTGGCACATGCCTGTAATCCCAGCTACTGGGGAGGCTGAGGCAGGAGAATCACTCGAACCCGGGAGATGGGGGTTGCAGTGAAACAGACTGCACCACTGCACTCCAGCCTGGGCTATAGCACGAGACTCTGTCTCGGGGGAGGGGGGGAAGGGATCACCATTATTTTGCAAATCACTGAGAAAGAAAAAAATACCCAGATCCCCATCTCCTTTATCTCTTCTTTCTTTAAAAAATGCAGGATATTTTAAACTGGGGACTTTGATCCCACAGGGGACCCATGGATAAAGGGCAAGAGAGCCTGTGAACCCTGCACTCCATCCTGTGTAGAACAAGAAACCCACACATACAGCTGGGACGGAAGGGCCTTGTCCTCAACACAAACGTAAAGGGCAGGAAGGAAAAAAGCACATCTCAACCTCAGGCACAGGACGGGTGGAGGAAAAACAACTCTCCCCTGAGAATCTGAATCTAGGGGAGCTGGGACATACACCCATTAGCACTCTAAATTCACAACACCACGGCAGTGCAAAAAAAAAAAAAAAAATCTCAGAATTTAAATGCTGGGAATCCTCCCAGGTGAGTGGCAGAAGCAGGTGCACACTATCTCAAGAAGAAGCTGACTTCAGTTCACCCACAGGGAGAGCAAGACGCCAAGAGGCTTTGGGAGTACATCCTTCCAACTCTGCATCCCTGTAAAAGGCAATCCCTGGCATAAACTCTAATAGCTGCCGGGTGCATGGCCCACACCTAGAATCCCAGCACTTTGGGAGGCCAAGGCGGGCAGATCACCTGAGATCAGGAGTTCGAGACCAGCCTGACCAACACAACAAAAGCCCATCTCTACTGAAAATACAAAAAATAGCTGGGCGAGGTGGCATGCACCTGCAATCCCAGCTACTTGGAAGACTGAGGCAGGAGAATCACTTAAACCTAGGAGGTAGAGGCTGCAGAGAGTCAAGATTGCACCACTGTACTCTAGCCTGGGCAACAGGGCAAGACCCTGTCACAAAATAAAAGAAATAAACACTAACAGCCTATGTCCTGGGAGCAGAGGGAATGACCAGCAACCTCAACCTCACTCCTAAGCACACCTGCTGCATTCTACACAGGATGGAGTGCAGGGCTCACAGGCTCTCTTGCCACTTATCCATGGGTCCCCTGTGGGATCAAAGTCCCCAGGTTAAAATATCCTACATTTTTTAAAGAAAGGATTTAGTATACATTATAGAGTGAACAGGAAAAATAATCAAGTTCCAAAGACAAACCTTGCCGTTCACAGAGAACCCAGTGAAGACAAAGTTGATGTCCCCACCCTTTGTGCAGATGTCACTGACTCCATCCACATGGAGCTCCACGGTCGTCGGCTCTGAGGATGAAGCAGGGGAGGAAACAGGGGCACAAGACACAGAGGCAAGCTTAGTTTTGGGGTATCGTGAACCTGTCTAAGTAGAACATATTTCACTGTTCAGTTTTCATTTTATTTCTGAACACTTAATATACTCATGTGTTTCCAAATCCAAAGGAACAAAAAGGTATGCTGAGGAAAGTCTCGCTCTTACCCGCATCTCCCTAGCCACCTAGTTTCCTGCCCCAAAAAGAACTTGTGTTTAGAGTATAAAATAATTTTACAACAGCCTTTCAGCCAAGTTATATCTCAGGGTGCCAGTGGAAATTCAGTGAGCACCAAGTAATTTTATTTACTGAATGCTCATCACAGACCAGGCACTGAGGTGAGTGACTTTAACCCTCACAATTACCTTAAGAGGCAGGCAGTAATAGCCGAAATTTATTGAGGGGTAAATTGAAGCACAGAAAGGTTAAAGGAGCTCCCAAGATCACAGAGCTTCCAAGTGACAGAGCCCCAAGTCAAGCCTAAAAGTCTGGCTCTGGATCTGTTCCCTGACCAAGTACATGAGCTCAGCCATGTTAAACCAGGACCACAAACTCCAATGCCGCAGGAGCCTCGTGGGTTCAAAGTGAGCGGGGCGCCCTCAGGGAATTATGACGGTAAACTGAAAGGGGGCAACCACCACTCTAGTCTGCCAACCACTGCCATGCTTTGCCAGAGCTTCCAACTTCTCCAAAAAAGTGGAAATCTAGATTTTATATACCATCTCTTTTCAGTATCAGCAATTAACTTCATTTTTTCTAAATACTGAGGAGTTCACCATAATAGGGGTTAAAGCTGAGTTTTTGAAAGAATGTGGAGTAATGAGTAGAGAACAAAAAGGAAAACCATGAGATGAGATTTTCAGCTAAGATGAAGAATTACACACATGTTCACATGTGCAGGTACACGCACACACACACAAAGATTCCAATAAAAAATGGGCAAAAGACTTGAACAGAAATCTTACAAAAATAGCTAGCCCATGGCAAATAAACATACAAAAAAGTGTGCAACTTCACTGGCCATCAGAGGAATGTAAATGAAGACCACAGTGAGATGACATGACACCCCCACCAGAAAGCCTAAAGTGAAAAAAACTGACCATACCAAGTGCTGACCAGGATGTGGAGCAATGGAAACCATTGTACACGGCTGGGAGAACACAAACTGGTGCGTCCACTTTGGATGTTTGGAAATATGTAAGCTGAGCATGTATCAACTCTATGGCTCAGCAACTTTATGCCTGTGATGTACTCAGCACAAAGGCAGGCACATGAGTATCAAAAAATACATACTAGACTGTTCACAGGAGCACTACTCTTAGTGGCCAAAATCAGGAAGCAACCCAAACGGCCATCAACAGAAGAGATCACCAATATAAAATATAAACATAAAATACCAATATAGGCCAAGCATGGTGCTCATGCCTGTAACCCCAACACTTTGGGGTGCCGAGGCAGGCGGATTACTTGAAGTCTGGAGTTCAATACCAGCCTGGTCAACATAGTGAAACCCCATCTCTACCAAAACCACAGAAATTAGCCGGGCAGAGTGGTGTGCACCTGTAATCCCATCTACTCAGGAGGCTGAGGCACAAAAATTACTTGAAGCTGGGCAGAAGCTGCAGTGAGCCAAGACTGTGCCACAGCACTTCCTCAGTTTCGAGAAAAAAAAGAAAAAGAAACATATTTCATAAAATATAAATCATTTTGTATTTATCCATCAGAATTCTGAACAGCAAAGAGAATGAACAAGAGCTGCAGATGATACAGAGAAAGCCCACAGTATCTCTGTGAGCTTTTTTTGAAACCAGGTATTAAAAAGCACCCTGCATGATTGCATTTGTATAAAGTTCAAAACAGACCAAATGGATCTCTAATTTTTAGACGCACAGGGTGGTGGTCACCTGGGGGGTGGGGCAGGATGGCTAATGAGCACCCAGGATGGGGACTTCTGGGGTGCTGGTGAAGTGCTATCCCATCATTTGGGTGGTGGACACATGGGTGTGTTCACTTTATGAAAATTTATCCAGGACACTTTTGTGAAAGTATAACTCAATTAAAAAGCTTATCAACAGCATCAGGTAGGGGTGGGGTGGGGTGGCAAACACAACACTCCTGCAGGCCACCAGTCTAGATTTCTGCTTTGACCATGAGCATTTCTCTCAGGGCTGCATTCCTCTCCAGCTTTCTGGAACATACCAGCCAGACACCCCCCGCCCCCCACCCCTGACTAGAAAATAATAAAGAGCTGCTCTCACAGAGCCAAATTAGCTGTCAGCTGCCTGAGCTTCATTTCAGCCTTGGTGATGGCAGGTGCTAAATTCTTCCTTGTCTAATGCACAGGTAAGCCTGATACCAACAATGGTGGTCCCCAGTCCTCTTACCAAGGTATGGACTGGGGGTCACCCACATCTGCTTTACTGAAACATCGAGAGTCTCTCCTCTTCAAAAATGTATGCTACATCAAACAGACCCTCTCTTCTGATCTCAACCCCATTCTCAACTCTCCAGCTATGATTGAAGGCAGCTATATGAGGAAAGTTTGGAGCTCTTGTTGGGAAGTATGCAGAAGAGCTGTTTCTGAGTACTGAGTGCTTGCTAATTACGTGCCAGCCACTCTCAACACTCATTATTGCTTTATTCAACCTCCAAGTACCTTGTGGGGCATGGACTATAACTACCCTGGCTCGACAGTGAGGAGCCAGGCTGACACAGGGGAAGTAACTTGCCCAAGGTTGTTATTTAACTAGTAAGGCTTAAGGCTGACAGATATTATAATCTCTTGGAACATAAATCTGGATTTTTATGACAGATCTCACAATGTTTAAATGTTGCAATTAATTACATAAAAGATTAAAAAACTGAGGAGGCTAAAAAAAGAAGCCATCCTGGGACAGGAACCAAGTCCCCACTCTTGGCTTTTATGCTGTTCTGCTGCCACGTAACGAGTGAAACTGCAAAGGCAGAGTTTCCAGAAAGGTACAAGAAAATATATCTATTTTTCAAAGGTGACAGAAAGCCTTAAGGTAGATTAAATCCAAACTAAACCAGAGAGATGGGGACAGGGAGGGGAGGAATTCAAAGCCTCTTCCATACTGAAAATGACCCTTAATATTTTAAGAGTGTATGCACCCTCCTAATGTAAATTAATATTTGGCATATAATTTTTTTTGAGAGGGAGTTTTGCTCTGTCACCCAGGTTGGAGTGCAGTGGCACCATCTTGGCTCACTGTAACCTCCACTTCCCAGATTCAAGCAATTCTCCTGCCTCAACCTCCCAAGTAGCTGGGTTTACAGGCGCGCACCACCACGTCTGGCTGACTTTTTTATTTTTAGTAGAGATACGGTTTCACCATGTTTGCCAGGCTGGTCTCGAACTCCTGACCTTGTGATCCGCCTGCCTCGGCCTCCAAAAGTGCTGGGGTTACAGATGTGAGCCACCATGCCCAGTCATCATCTAATCTTACAAAGAACATCTAGTGATTCAGTTAACTTACCAAAACTCCACCCTAGGGGAGGCTCAATCTTCAAAATGAAATCCCCCTAAAAGAAAAAAAAAAAAAATGAAATTTCAGGAAATGAGAACTGTGACTCTGGTTTAATTTAGTTTAGTGTTACCATTTAATCTAAATATTTTACATCGGAAATGAAATTCAAAGAGTAACCCTTGTTCTTCTTCAGATGCTACAAACTGAAGCTGAACACCAGAAGTTTTCATCTAAACAATCAGAAGACAGTGTTGAAGCCCACTCGTGAGTTCTCAAAACACTAGGTTCACATACTCACTGTCTTTTAATATTAAACATTACTATTAATCTATTAACTGAGTCTCCCATTAAGCCCTCACATGCCTATCGCTGCACAATTAGCGTATCTTCAGGAACTAGAGTCACTTCTTAAAACAGGCACAGTACACCTATAATCCCAACACTGTGGGAGGCCAAGGCAGGAGGACTGCTTGAGGCCAGGAGTTCGAGACCAGCCTGAGCAACATAGCAAGACTCCATCTGTACAAAAAAATTTTCTTAAAAAATTAGCTAGGTGTGATGGCAGGCACCTATATTCTTAGCTACTCAGGAGGTGGAGGTAGGAGGATCACTTGAGACCAGGTCAATGCTGCAGTGAACCATAATCATGCCACTGCATTCCAGTACAGGCAGCAGAGGGTGATCCTGTCTCTAAACAATACATTAACTCATTAATTCAATAAATAAAACTAGATTTTACTCATCACCCTGGTTTCTTTCCTTTTCTTTTTTTTGAGATGGAATCTTGCTCAGTCACACAGGCTGGAGTGAAGTGGTGCGATCTCAGCTCACTGCAACCTCCGTCCCCTGTTGAAGAGATTCTCCAGCCTCAGCCTCCCAAGTAGCTGGGACTACAGGGATGCCCTACAACATCTGGCTATTTTTTTTGTATTTTAGTAGAGACAGGGTTTCACCATGTTGCACAGGCTGGTTGGTCTCACACTCCTGAGCTCAGGCGATCTGCCTGCTTCAACCTCCCAAAATGCTAGGATTACAGGCATGAGCCACCATGCCCAGCCTCTTGGTTTCTTAAGACTGACGCTGTTAAAAACTAATTAAATAGATTTCAGGACAGATGCAGCTAGCCAACCCCTAGAAATCAATCCCATGCATTATGGATGAAGAGTTAAGTTCAAGAATAGTTCCTGGTGTGTTACTAGAAATAATAATTACTATTATATTAAAACTGGGGAAAGTCTATCTGTCCATCAAGAGGGAAGTAAATAAATTACAATTTGGGTTTGATTCTGACACACTATGAAGTGATTACAAAGAAGGCAGTAGGCTGAGCATGGTGGCTCACTCCTGTAATCCTTGCACTTTGGGAGGCATGCGGATCACCAGAGGTCAGGAGTTCGAAACCAGCCTGGTCAACATGATGAAACCCACCTGTATTAAAAACACACAAAAAAATTAGCTGGGTGTGGTGATGGGCACCTGTAATCCCAGCAAATCAGGAGGCTGAGGCAGAAGAATCAACTCAAACCTGGGAAGCAGAAGTCACAGCAAGCCAAGATCGTGCCACAGAACTCCAGCCTGGGTAACAGAGTGGGACTCCATCTCAAAAAAAAAAAAAAAAAAAAGAAAAGAAAAGAAAGGAAGGCAGTAAATCTATTCACACTAATTTTGAAAGCATGCAAGGGAAAAAAACCAAATGTCCCTCTGGTAATGAAAGCTTAACACAGGGGAAAAAATGAAACTGCAGAATAAATCCTATTGTTTGAGTCTACTTGTATTTTTTAAAAAAATCAAAATCAAAACTAAGTATATTGACTATTTTTGCAACTTCCTATGAATCTATATTTCCAAATAAAAGGTTTATACGGGGGAGGATGGGATTATATAAGCAGAGGTGGTGGTGGATACACATCTATGTGTACATATGTTTGTGTGTATTTGCATATATGCATATTCATGTGTATCCATGGATATCTGAATAACTCTAAATAGAAAGCAATCTGTTAGGATGCACACTGAAACTTTATAAGAGGGCTGGGCAGTGGCTCACACCTGTAATCCCAGCACTTTGGCAGACCGAGGCAGGTGGATCACTTCAGGTCAGGAGTTCAAAACCAGCCTGGCCAATACGGTGGAACCCCGTCACTATTAAAAACACAAAAATGTAGCTGGGCATGGTGGCATGCACCTGTAATCCTAGCTACTCAGGAGGCTGAGGAAGGAGACTTGCTTGAACCTGGGAGGTGGAGGTTGGAGTAAGCCAAGATCGTGACACTGTACTCCAGCCTGGGCAGCAGAGTGAGACTCCATTTCAAAAGAAAAAACAAAAACAAAAAAACTTGATCAGAGATTGTTACTATAGAGGGAGGTATAACTGGAGGGAAAAGGGTACAAATTTATTTCAACTACTTCTAAAGACCTTGACTTTTTTTCACAAAGCTCATGAATTCATATATTACCTGTATAATTGTTTTACAATATATTAAGCTGCTTGCAAGTAAAGGGTTGTATGAAATCAGAGTTTCTCAACCCTGGCACCACTGACATCTGGGCTGTCGTGGGCAGCAATGTAGCACATTTAGCTCCACACCTGGGTACTACTCATGGGATAACTGCAGCACGCAGCCACAGATATCACAACCACAAACCTCTCTAGATGCTGCCAAATGACCCTGAAGACACAGAGAGACACTTGAATCATCAAGGCTGTTTGTGAGTTCTCTCCCTCCGAATGTGGCTAGGATTACCATATTCCACTAATAGTTTACAAAACAGATGAGCATGTGCTAGTGTAGGAAAGGGTATAATCAGTGCAGCCTGGCGGGGCACACTAGAGACTTCCCATCATAAGTGACGAACAGTAAAGATGGAAGTGCCCTCCCCTCTTACCTTATCATACAAAGGGATCATAAAGTAACCATTGTTGGGGGCACAGTCCGTCTGGTATTTCAAAGTCCCATGCTTGGTGTACAACTTTATCTAGAAAGGAAGGAAGGAAAACAGAAATCATAACATTGCCTTTGAGAAAAAAACCACAGGTTACACCTGAATGTACTCAGTCAATATGCATTCGCTGAGCACCTATTATATGCCAGCTTTTAACACTGTGCGTTATTGGGGACAGAGGGGAATAAACAAAGTCTCTTCCAAATCATGTGACTCAATGTTTTTCAGATTGGAAATCACCTACAGCGTATCCCAAAGCCTTGTTTTTCCGTGCTTTTCTACTATTTTAGTGGCTGTCTCTAGGTTGCTCATGTAAGTTTCTGTGTCTAAAACAAATCTGCAAACTTTGCCATTAGCAAGGTGACTATTAAAATGCAAATTCTTGGCAGGGAGCAGTGGCTCACTCCTGTAATCCCAGCACTTCCGAAGGCTGAGGCAGGAGGACCACCTGAGCTCAGGAATTTGGACGAGCCTGACCACATGGTGAAACCCTGTCTCTACTAAAAATACAAAAAAAGTTAGCTGAACATGGTGGCGGGCACCTGCAGTTCCAGCTACCTGGGAGGCAGGAAAATTGTTTGAACCTAGGAGGCGGAGGTTGCCGTGAACCAAGACAGTGCCACTGCACTCCAGCCTGGGAGACAGAGCAAGACTCTGTCTCAGTAATAATAATAATAAAGTAAAATAAACTGCAAATTCCTGAGGCCCACCTCTGTTTCTAAAGACCTGGAATGAAGACCAGAGATCTGCCTTACTAACTCTAAATAATTTCAAACATTTGGAGTAAGGTTCATCTAGAAACTTAATTTTCTCATTACTGTCATTCTCAGAACAAAAAGAGAACAAAAAGGTACTTACTACCTGTCTTCTCCTCAAGGACTCTCTAAAACTCTTACATTCTGAGCATTATCAGACACCGAGTGTTACCCCAGTAAGATGCCCAAATACTGCCTGGGTCTTCCACGCATTGCGTGGCCTCCGGCAGGCTCATATTCAATTTCACATGTAGACAGAGAGCCACTCCCTTTCATGTGGTTGTACAGATTCACATCGACGCATATTAAGCACCTGCTACAGAATATGGATTCAAAGAAAAATCAGTTTGCGGCAGTCAGGCATGGTGGCTCATGCCTGTAATCCCAGCACTCTGGGAGGCCAAAGGAGGAGGATCATTTGAGCCCAGGAGTTCAAGACCAGCCTGGGCAACATAGCCAGACCTCGTCTCTACGAGAAAAAAAACTTGGCTAGGAATGATGGCATGTACCTGTAGTCCTGGCTACTCGGGAGGCTGAGGCAAGAGGACTGCTTAAGACCAGGAGTCAGAGGCTTTGGTGAGCTATGATGATGCCACTGCACTCCAGCCTAAGCAACAACGTGAGGCCCTGTCACAAAATAAAATAAAATAAAATAGAAAGAGCAGTTTGTATTACTACTTAATATCTCTCTTTAAAGAAAAAAGCAACACAGTGTAATAGGCAGGGAACACACTGGGCTCCAGAAAAATTTCCTAAATGTCCCTGTACAGGTCGACCACTCTGAGGCTCAGTTTCTGTATCTGTAAAAGGCAGCAGTTGGTCTGAGCGTCTAAAAGCCTCACCTCTAAAATGTTAATGCTCTGTGACCATTAAACAGACCATACCCAAGCTGCAATGAAAGAGTCGAATCTTACCAGCTAAGAAGATGCATAAAGTGACTAACTCATAAAATGAACATTTGGGAAATGACTCACGTGAAATTATGTGCAGCCTGTATGTAGGTTCTCTGTGGGCAGTGACCACAACTTACATTCCAAGGTGCCTGAGACAGCGTCTTGCTTACTCTAGGTACTCAGTGGATTTGTTACAGGTGACAAAGAGATTCAGATGCATGCATTTAAGGCACAGACTGGAAATTCACCAGCCCAGAGGGGTTAGGGAGGCAACAACAAGGGGCATTCATCCAAAGGGATTCGGATCACTACATAACCCAAGCCAACTGCTGTAGCCCAAAGATCAGCTGGTTTTCCAGAGAAATAAAGAACGCAGTTTTTAATGTGAAACCTCCTGATTGTTAAAGTATTAGCAACCAGTATAAATTTTTTTAACAGTAAGGTCCCTGTTAAAGAACAAAATGTCAATCCCATGAGAGTAGGGAGTTGTGTCTGTTTTGTTCACTGGCTGCTATATCTACACCGGGAACAAGGCTTCAGCATGCGCAGGGGCTTAATAAATCGTTGTTGGCTCAATGAACGTGATGTAAAAACGCCCAGGATGGGAGAAAGCTAGAGAGGAATGAAGGCAGTTGCACAGGAACACAAAAAAACACAATCGAGAAACGACTGTGAAATATCTTGATTATTTCTATGTCTTTTGTAAAGTACAATCAGGACACAGGATGGCAATGTCATCTACATCAAGATGACCAATATGAAATGTGTGATTTCATAATCAGAATTACGAAAGAATGAGTGTCCCAAACCATCTGGACAGGCAGCCCTTGAGCTTAACGAAAACACTTCACAATGGGCCACAAAACCTGCTCTCTGGTCTCAAGGTGACTATTAGTATGGGAAGGGGGGTGCCTAACTGTCTTTCCCTTCCTTCAGGAACCCCTGGAAACTACATGTTGCAAGACGCCTTCCTGGGTGGCTTCTCCAATGCCCTGTGCCATCTATGGCCATACGACCCGAAACACACCTGGTCATCTGAAATGCCCTGTCCCCACAGAGAGGAAAACACAGGAGGTGGCATGGGTACCCAGAAACATGTACCCAGGAAATTCTAGGAGGCCGGTCGCTGCCAGTGAGTAGATTCATTCAATGCCTGACTTCTTCAGACTAAAAAAGCAGCAAACAAGGGCACCTTGAAGATCACAGATCAGCTTGTTTAGGAAATATATCTGCTGAGTCCGTTTCTCTCCCAGCACCATCCTATAGGTACAAAAACTGAGACCTCAAAGCCAGGGCGCAGAGCTAGTGGGGTGTGGAACTGACTCCCTCGACCTCCCCCAGTCCTTAGCAACCCACTTTGCAGAACACAGTGGTTCACTCTTCACAGTCAGGCAGGTCAAAGGTGCTTTCAGACGATCTTTGGGGTCTTATTCCCCAGTCTCTCTCTTGGGCATTTCCCAGCCTCTTCCTTCGCTTTCGCCTAAATTACCTCCAAAGCACCTGCTCTTTTCCTCTTCCTTGTCATGCTCCACCACAAATCCCCTCCCAAAAAGGAGGCCCAGGCCTCACTGGTCTCCTACCATCTCCCCTGGAAGTGACCTTCTGCCCCTACCTCCATCCATCCCCTTCCTCTTTATGAAAAGCTTTCTGGGTCATAATCCCACTAGGCTGATAAACATTTAACAGCACTTTATAACTTAATTTGTTTAAAATCCTACACAAATCTCTAGGGTAATTCCAGCAACTAACTACTCATTAAGGCAATCAGGGCAGCTGACAACTCTCCATTTTCAGAAGTGGAGGGGCGCGGGAGAAATAAAAATATACCTTTCTGGCCCCAGGTCAGAATCTGCGGGATGGGAATCCATGCTCTTTAAAATCATGCCGGGAGATTTGGAGGAGCAGTGGATTAGAACTTCGGGGACTTCTGGGCTGTGGAGTTTGCACGATACGACATGTGGTCTACAGGTTCTGTAACATGGGTTTGGGGAAATCTGAGTTTCAGGGGGTCTGATTCGAGGGAATCTGGGGTCCAAGTTTAAAGAAATGGGGTCTGGGCTCCAAGGTTTTTGGGGTCTGGGTTTTGAGGATCTGGGGTCTGGTTGCGGGGATCTGGAGTTCGGGTTTTTAAGAACCTGAGGTCTGGCACCCCTCAGCCCTCAGACGACACCACAATAAGAACCTACACTCCAGCGCGACTGGGGAGGGACTGCGGGGAGCCCGTGGACAGCAGAGCCTCGGAAAAGAGAAGGGCTCCAAGGACTCCACGATGCCCGGGTGTCAGAGGCGAGGCCAGCGCGGCCCAGAGAGGCTGAACCACCCGTCCGCCGTCCGCCCCGAGTCGGGCCCGGGCCGCGGGGCGGGCGCTCACCTCGATCAGCGAGTAGTTGATCTCCACGTCCGACTTGACGAAGCCCCCGCAGCCCACCACGATGTCCTCCGAGCCGTGCACCGGCCCCACGCCGCTCAGCAGCAGCACCACGGCGGCGGTGACCACCACGGCCCCCAGAGGCCCCGCGTCCCGGTCCGCCAGCATGGCCCGACCTTCCCCAGCTGGAGCCTCCGCCGGCCGCCAGGTCCCGCCCCTCACACCGCCCGCCGCAGGTTCCTTCCGCCTCCTAGGCCGGCTGACAGCCAAGGCTCCGCCCCGCCGCCGCCGCCGCGCACGCGCGCTCCGACCCGAAGCCCAAGGCCCCGGAAGAGAGAACTACGGCAAATGCTCGGCAAGGAAACGAGACCATCTTTGCCCTCTGGAGGCCTGGAGGACTCCGCTTATCGTCCGGCAGGTGCAACCAAGGTGCACGCAGGGAGAAGCCCCAAAGATGAATTCGACTTTAGAACTCACCGTCACAGCTGGAAAGCACGGGAGATTTTGTTGGGCAAATTAACAACTTTCCTAAATATTTCTGACCCATGTATTTCGCAGGTAAAATACATAATCTCAAAAAAACCTTTAGGGCCGGGAACGATGGCTCAAGCCGGTAATCTCAACGCTTGGAGGAGTTTGAGACCAGCCTGGGCAACATGGCAAAACCCATTAGGAATTTGTGTAACTTGGTGCATTTTTCCATGATAAATAATGGATTTTTTTTTTTTTTTTTTTGAGACGGAGTCTTTCTGTCACCAGGCTGGAGTGCAGTGGCACGATCTCGGCTCACTGCAACCTCTGCTCCCTGGGTTGAAGCGATTCTCCTGCCTCAGTCTCTCGAATAGCTGGGACTACAGGCGCGCACCATCACGCCCAGCTAATTTTTGTATTTTTAGTAGAGACGAGGTTTCACCATGTTGGCCAGGATGGTCGCGATCTCTTGACGTTGTGATCCACCCTCCTCGGCCTCCTAAAGTGCTGGAATTACAGGCGTGAGCCACGGTGCCTGGCTAAAGCAAAACATGTGTTAATGTTACCATAATTTTAAAAAGCATGTAGGATTTGTCGTAATCCTAGCTCTAATAACATATGCCTAGAAACAAATTTCGATGAGTTTTCTTCCCCTAAGCAAGAAGTGCATGCAATTTACTTTGAATTAGCTATGCAAGATGAAACACGATTTGCCTGAAAAGTTCAAATTCAGCGTATTTTGTCCCAAGAGTGAATTCATGTGTACAGTAAATTTAACTACTGGACACCACATCAAGATACGCAGCAAAAAACTTGCTTTTCTAACCTAATATTAGGAATTCTTCCACTTGTCTCAAAAAAAAAAAAAGTTGTGCTTTATTTTGATTGGTTTTGTATTTTGTTTCTAAATACAAGGTAAGGCTAGACTTCCCACTGCAATTTGCCACTGTGGCTAAAACTTAAGTACCATACAACTAAGAAGCACAGGCTCAGACTACACAGTAGTCAAACCTTCATGGTGGCAACAAGGCAATGAAGGGAATGACACATTGACCTCAGGGTCATAATAATGAGTGCATCTGATTTCAGCTTCTCACGCTGCATTTTCAGTCACATACAGTAGACTCTCAACTACTCAGTGACAATGAAAAAGCATTGAAACAGTCTATTTACAGGGGGTTGTTATTTATAACCACAATTGAAATAGATGCCTTATATCCAAATTACTAGAGGACTGAAAACCACCCATTAGAAAGTGTTGGTTTATGGAAACCTTTCATCGTACATAATGAGAATCTGAGGCCCGGAAAGGAAAAGGAACTTGTCTAAGACTCTCTGCATGCAGCCATAGGTTTTTCCAGGAGCCAATGAGCAGGAATTGAGCCCTGGCTCCCACCTATAATATAAGGATTTTGGGAGGCTGAGGTGGATGGATCACTTAAGGTCAGGAGTTCAAGACCAGCCTGGCCAACATGGCAAAACCCGGTCTCTACTAAAAATACAAACATTAACTAGGTGTGATATCCATCTAGTAGCTCTAATCCCAGCTACTTGGGAGGCTGAGACAGGAGAATGGCTTGAAGCAGTGAGGCAGAGGTTACAGTGAGCTGAGGTCATGCCACTGCACTCCAACCTGGGCAATAGAGTGAGACTCTGTCTCAAAAAAAAAAAAAAGCAGGAATTGGGATCCCCAAGTCCTGTTCTGGACTCACCCCAAATGATTTCCTCTGTGTTCTTGACTTTCTATTTCTCTCAAATTCATCTTCAAATGTAGAAAGAAATAAAGCACAAGGATGGTGTCAATTCCAATTCATGGGTAGGGAAGGTGGGGAGTGGCTTGCAGGGGGAGGGGAATTTCGCTTCCCCATAATTTCCATCAATTTCCACCAAAACCACTTCAGATAAACAGGCATGATTTACAAGGAAATAGTAGATCTGCCACACTCAGCTTCAGGACAAATCCTTGGGTCCCTTCTGTCCTGAAGCTTCCATTAGACTCGGGCAGGAAGACAGCTGAAGGGGGAAGAAAGGAGGGTGCTCCCTGGGCCCAATACTGGATTTAGAGAGGCTCAAAAAGACTGAGGAAACCACGCTGTGGGGCTCCTCCAGAAGGCAGGAGTAGAAGATGAAAACAGGACCTGAGAATTAGCAAGGTAGTGTGGGGAGTGCAGAGGTTTTAATTCGCCCAAACTGAGCACCTGTGCTTGTCTAAGAGTTGAAGAGGTCATTCCTATCTTGAAATGAATACAGGCTCACTGCAACAAGAAGGAAATTGGAAAAGAAAACTAGGATTCCCCATGATCACTGCATTTGTGCATTTCTATCTTTTTATCTATGCATTTATGCTATTATGACATTGAGTCATTTCTAAGAAGTGGTGGCTGGGTCTTTGACGCTTTGCTTTAAGACCCAGGAGAGGGTTAGACATGGTGGCTCATGCCTGTAATTGCAGCACTTTGGGATGAGGAGGCAAGAGGATGGCTTGAGGTCAGGAGTTCCAAAGCAGCTTGGACAACAAAGTGGGACCAGATTCCACCAAAGACTTTAAAAATTAGCCAGGCGTGGTGGTGTGTGCCTATAATCCCAGCTACCTGGGGGAGGATGGGTGGGTCACTTGAGCCCAGGAGGTCAACGCTGCAGTGAGCCACGATGGCACCACTGCACTTCAGCCTATGTGACACAGCAAGACACTGTCTCATAGAAAAAAGAGACAGAGAGAGAAGACTCAAGAGAGGAAGGTAAGTGCCTTGGCCTTCTTCTCTATGTTCCCTAATTTAGGCATATCCTTTTCTTTTTTTCTTTAAAAAAATCATAGCCTATTTTATATTATATTTTCTTTGTTCATATATCATTTAGCAACAACCTTTCCATATGAATATATGTATGCAATGGCAATTGTACACTTACAATACGTGCAGTTTGTTGTATATCAGGTATACCTCAACAAAGCGGTTTAAGAAATAAACCACTCACACCTGTAATCCCAGCACTTTGGGGGACCCAGGTGGGTGGATTACCTGAGGTCAGGAGTTTGAGACCAGCCTGGGAAACGGTGAAACCCCATCTCTACTAAAAATAAAAAAATTAGCCAGGCATGGTGGCAGCCCCTGTAATCTCAGCTACTGAAGAGGCTGAGGCAGGAGAATCGCTTGAACCCAGGAGACGGAGGTGGCAGCCAGCTGAGATTGCACCACTGCACTCCAGCCTGGGTGACAGAGTGAGACTCTGTCTCATTTTTTTAAAAAAATAAATAAGCAAACTGATAATTACTAACACCAATATAGGGTTTAAATGTGTGACTTAAAAAAACTATTTTACTCATTAACTTGTTTAATCTTACCAACAACAACCCTTTGAATATTATTGTTGACATTTGTCAGAGAAGGAAACTGAGGCAGAGAGCCTGAACGCAAACACCTAGCATTCAAGAATCCATATCCTTTTCAGTTTCTCTCTTTTTAATGCATCTGAGCCTTATTTTTCGACCTAATTACGTGTTAAGCACCAGGTGTATACAGCCCCTTGTTAGATGTTTGCCCAATTCCAGGGTAGTAGAAAATTGCCTACACCTAAACTCACTTTTGTTTCCATTGCCTGAGTATCTTGATCATAGGTGGGGGGAGAGCTCCACCTGCTGCCGTAACTAAGGAATTGCAGGCACTTGTGTTTTCTGAGTGCTGGCTGACCTGCTTTGAATGCAGTGCCCCTGTGGCTGAAATCAAAATTGTCAGCTAAATTTTTAGCCACTTTAACTCAGGTTTTAGTCTTGTTTCATCCACTAATATTTTTTCTTTTTTCTTTCTTTTTTATTTTTGGTGAGATTGAGCCTCACTGTTGCCCAGGCTGGAGTGCAGTGGCAAGAGCTCGGCTCACTGCAACCTCCGCCTCCCAGGCTCAAGTGATTCTCCTGCCTCAGCCTCCTGAGTAGCTAGGACTCCAGGTGCCCAGCATCATGCCCAGCTAGTTTTTATATTTTCAGTAGAGACGGGGTTTCACCATATTGGCCAGGCTGGTCTCAAACTCATGACCTCAGGTGATCCACCCACCTTGGCCTCCAAAAGTGCTGGGACTACAGGCATGAGGCGCCACACCTGGCCAGTTTCCTCCATTTTAACATGTTGCATCATGTGGTACATTTGCTATAGCTGATGAACCAGTATTGACATGTTATTATTAAAGGACATGGTTTATATTAGGGCTCACTCTTGGTGTCATACATTCTGTGGGATTCGACAAATGCATGATGACATGTATCTGCCATTACAGTGGCACACAGAGTAGCTTCCTGGCCTTAAAAGTTCCCTGTGCTCCCGTTTACCCCTTATCCCCTCCCACCCCATGAACTCCCAGCAACCCTGATCTTCTGACTCTATATATAGTTTTACTAATTTATTTTTAAAATCATTTTGAAATCTATTTTTTTTTTTTTTTTTTTTGAGATGGCTTGCTCTGTCGCCTAGGATGGAGTGCAATGGTGCAATCTTGGCTCACTGCAACCTCCGCCTCTCAGGTTCAAGCGATTCTCCTGCCTCAGCCTCCTGAGTAGCTGGGATCAAGGATGGTCTTGATCTCTTGACCTCATGATCCGCCAGCCTCAGCCTCCCAAAGTGCCAGGGTTACAGGTGTGAGCCATGGTGCTGGGCCCCAATCCCAGCACTTTGGGAAGCTAAGGCAGGTGGATCACCCGAGGTCAAGAGTTCAAGACCAGACTGACCAACATGGAGAAACCCTGTCTCTACTAAAAATACAAAAATTAACCGGGCATGGCGGCATGTGCCTGTAATCCCAGCTACTCAGGAGGCTGAGGCAGGGGAATCACTTGAACCTAGAGGCGGAGGTTGCAGTGAGCCAAAAACGTACCACTACACTCCAGCCTGGCAACAGAGTGAGACTCCATCTCTCTCTCTCTCTCTCTCTCTCTCTCTC